ATCGTGCTCTACACCTTGTTATCCCAGTATTCTTTGGTAGTCTCTTTGCATCCTGTCACAATTTGCTTTCCTACCTAAGTTCATAAGCAAACCTGTCTGCATTACAGTTGGTCTTTTCTTCAAATCATTAATGCTGATCATAAGTAATTAAGAGCCCAGTACTAATACCCATAGCACTTCACTCATTACAGTTTGCCAACCTGAAAATGATGTACATATTTCGACTGAAGTTGCTGGAAAAGCTCAGCAGGTCTGGCAGCATCTGAAGAAAAATCAGAGTTTATGTTACAGGTCTGGTGACCGTTCCTCTGTTCTGAAGAAGGGTCACCAGACCTGAAGCATTAACTCTGATTTTTCTTCATAGGTGCTGCCAGATCTGCTGAGTTTAGCCAGCAACCTCTGTTTTTGTTTTTGTTCCTGATTTATTTCATCCGCAGTTCTTTGGGTTTTTACATATTTCAACTGTTTTGTTATTTAGCTAATCCTCTATCCATAAACTAACATGGGTCCCCCATTACTTCAAATTCTTGTTTTCAGCAGTAACCTTTTCAGATGGCATCTTTATTGATTGTCTTTCGGTAGCCAAACTACACTACACCTGGTTCCTCTTTATCCACTCTGAAACAACTCCTAATAAATTTGTCAAGCATTATTTCCCTTCCACAAAATCATTTTGACTGTGCCTGACTACTATGGTTTTCTAAATGTCTTGCTACTACACTTCTAATAATGGATAGTAACATTTTCTTGATGATGGATGACTCTATATAACATTAAAGATGTGTGGTGTGTATGGAGTGTTGAGTAAACCAGTGTTGATTTTGAAATATCAATGGGTTAGGTTCCTGCTTCTCACTGCAGGACCGTTATGTACTCGACTGGAGCCTGGGTTGAGCACGGCAAGCTCGTAGCCACAGTTGACTACCTCCCTCTTGAAATGTTTGAGAGGGACAACGTAACATACATTGAGGGAGATTTCAGAGCTGAACCTGACCATGTCTGTCCCTGAAGATGGCACATAGACGTTCCCAGTCATAGTTGCAAGCTTGAAATCAGTACACAAATTGAATTAGATTTCTCACTTCTTAGTATGTTCTGCTAAGTGTAAGGTGTAATGCTCAAACTGCTACTCAGTTGATCTCGACTAACAGTTCTGTATCCTTTTTGCCCACTGCCCTCTTGGACTCTGCACTGAGCTTCTGACCCCACCATCACAAAAACTATCTACTTGCATCTGTAGCATTGACAGTCGCCACCCATTGAAAGTGCCTCATCTGCTGATAACCTCATCTTGACTCCAGGGTTCAATATTCCAGTCTTCTCTGTCCAAAGCACCCAGTGGACAGGCAGAGGCAAATATGTGAAGACTACACAAAGGAACTGCAACAATTGTTAATTCCTATCTAGCACAGAAATAAAACTGGAAGTGTGCATGGCCATAGCTTCCAAGGGAAATTAAGCATAGTATTAGATCCAAGGAAGGGGCATACAAATTGGTCAATAACAGCAGTAGACGGGAGGATTGGGAACAGTTTAGACTGTAGTGAAGGAGGACATAGGGATTGATTAACAGCGGAAAAATAGAGTAGAATGCTTCTATAGATGTGTGAAGAGGAAAAAGTTAGTGAAGATCAATGTAGGTCCCTTACAATTGAAAACAGGGCAAGTTATGATGGGCAACAAAAAGATGACAGATCAATTAAATACATAGTTTCATTCTGCCTTCATAAGGGAGGACACAAATAATGCCACAAAACTCTTGGGGGACATATGATCTGATGCGAGAGAGAAACTGAAGGAAAACCATATTATCAGAGAAATGGTGTTGGGGAAATTGGGATTAAAGGCTGACAAATCCCTGGATCCCAGTAATGCAAATCCCAGGGCACTTAAGGAAGTGGCCCTAGAAATAGTGGATATATTGGTAGTCATATTTCAAGATTCTACAGACTTTGGAACAGCTCCTATGGGTTGGAGGGTAGCTAATGTAACCAGACTCCTTTTTTTTTAGAAAAAGATGGGTATAGAGATACAGGGAATTGTAGACTGATTAGCTTGACAGTGGTAGTGAGGAAAATGCTACAGTCCATTATAAAAAGATTAATAGCAAAACCCATGGAATATAGTGACAGGAGTGGACTGGAACAACTTTGGTTTATGTGAAGGAAATGTTGACAAATCTACTGGAATGTTGAGAGAATATAACTAGTAGAGTTGATAAGTGGGAACCAGTCCATTTACTTGGACTTTAGAAGGCATTTGCTAAGGTCCCACATGAGAGATTAGCAAGTAAAATTAAAGCATACGGGATTTGGTGATGTGCATTGACATGGATGGAGAACTGTCTGACAGACTGGAAACAGTAGGAATAAACTGGTCATTTTCAGAGTGGCAGCCCATGACTGTCGGGGTACTGTGGGGATCATGGACCCCAGCTATTCGCAATATATATTAATGATTTAGATGAGGGAACTAAATCTCCAAGTTTGTAGACTGCAAAGTTGGTGGGAGAATAAACGGTGGGAAAGAGGCAGAGATCCTGTGATGTGGGCATATACATGGCAGATGAAGCATAATATGGATAAATGTGAGGTTATCCACCTTGCGAGCAAAAAGGGAAGGTGGGTTATTATCTGAATGGCTGTAGACTGGGAAAGGGAGGGTGTCAGGAGACCTGGATGTCCTTGTACACTCGTTGCTGCAAGTAAGCATGCAGGTGCAGCAGGCGTTGAAGAAGGCAAACAGTATGGTGGACTTCATTGCGAGAGAATTAGAGTGCAAGAGCAAGGATGTCTGGCTGCAATTGTACAGGGCCTTGGTGATGTCACCCCTGGAATATTGTGTGCACTTTTGGTCTCCTCATCTGAGGAAGGAGATTCTGGCTGCGGAGCAAGCCCAAAACGGATTTACCAGGCTGATTCCTCGGATAGTAGGACTGATGTAGGAAGAGAAGCCAGATTGGTTAGGACTATATTCGTTGGAGTTTAGAATAGTCTCATAGAACCGATAAAATTCTGACAGGACTATACAGAGTAAACACCTGAAGGATTTTTCCCAATGACGGAGGAGTCCAGAACCAGGGGTCACAGTTTAAGGATGTGGGATAGGCCATTCAGGACTGAGATGAGGAGAAATTTCTTCACCCAGAGAGTGATGAACCTGTGGAATTTTCTGCCACAGAAAGTAGTTGAGGCTAAAACACTAAATGTTTTCAAGGAGTAGTTACCTATAGATCTTGGCACTAAAGGTATCCAAGGATATGGGGTGAAAGTGGGAACAGGCTACTGAATTAGATGATCAGCTGTGATTGAATGGCAGGCCACACCCAAAGGGCTGAATGACCTACTCCTCCTGTTTGCTATATTTCTAGGTTTATAAACTTTAGCTCATGCAAAATTATGCACCCTGTTCTATTCATCCTTCAACTCATTGCTTGCTAATAAGTATTGGCTCACAATTCAGAACAACCTTTTCCACATAACTGAAACTCTGTTGAAATATTTAGTTCAGGGTGCTGATAGTCTTATTTGACCATTCATTCACATGGGTTGTAGTAGCGCTGATTGTGTGGTTTTCTGTCAGTATGTTCTCAGGCAGTGGCTTGCATTACTGATAAAGGAGAACTAAAAACATGTTTTACGGACAAAGGTATTTTGTTCTTGTCAGGTAATTCTTAACTTCAATCTGCCTTTTGTAATTTGAAAATGTTCAGGACTTGTTTTTGGTTTGGCTTCATGATTCAATTTAATCTTTTTAACCTTTTTAAAGTATGGAACAAACATCATGTACTAATTGTCCATCCATCACATGGTTGAGATGACACTGACAGTACTTGCCTGTCTCTGATTCATTCACCTTGACCAATTAAATTTAAAGTGCCCTAGAAAATTATCAGCATGCACAGTTAAATCAAAACTCACATCAGAATATTTTATATTAACTGTGCTTTTTTACAATAAGAAGGAATAATATGTAATGCTAATTGTTTCCAGTTGTTCGATTCAAATGCGATTGAAATTAAGTGCTCACAAGAAAAAAAGTGGAAAATCATTGTGTTTTTCTCGATATTCTGCTTTGATTATCAAAAGACAATCCCAGAATAACTATGAACAAAGATCTGTTTTCTCATTCAAGGGTTTTATATGAAGGGAAGGAACGTCTTATTCCAGGATGTGAAATTTTACATGCAACTCCTTTCGGCCGTTGTGCTAATGTTAACAACAGTTCAACCACATCTCAGCGAATCTTCATTACACATCGGAGAGCTCCGTTGAACAGACCGCAGAATTCTTTGGCTGTGACTGATATCTGCGTTATTGTTACCAGTAAAGGAGAAACTCCACCTCACACTTTTTGCAAAGTAGATAAGAACTTGAACTGTGGCATGGTAAGGATAATTGTTGCAGGTTTCTGTATTATGGTATATGTAACAGGAAGGTGCTAGAATATTTAGTTCATAGCAATATGCCTTGCAAATTAACTGCAGCAATCCACAAATGATATCTTCTTGGAAAGTACCTTCTTTATAAACACAACTTATTTTCAATGTGGAAGGAAAAATACTTAAGCTGTCAGACTTTAAGCTGTGGATGAGATTGTGGGCACAAGCTAAAATTTCTCGAGTTTGTCACATATAAGGTGCTTTGAAGTAAAGTTAACGTTGGTATTTTAAAAGGCTCAGGCAGTAGTCTTGACAGAACTATAACTTTGCTGAATTATTCTACATAAATACCTGATTCAAGACTGCAATTTGTTAAATTGCAGATATACTCTGATAATGACCTTTTATGTAATATGAGGATGCCGCTGCCAGCTTCCACATTTTGTAAGGATGACATCATTTTCTAATTAATGGAGCTATTTTATTTTCCAACATTGTGTTCATTTTAAGCCCATTTTCCGTTATAGTGGCTTACTTCATTGACAAATGAGACTCTACAGTAGGTTCAAAAGAAGCATCCTGTTCAATTCATTGAGCTGTTAGGTTGTCTCTGATTATTGAGGTATGAAACGAAGGCCACTCTCTCAAATAAGTCCTCGTTCTCTCCAAGTACAAATATAAAAATGCATCAGGTTTTCAAGTCTTGTTGCTATATTTAATGTAGTTGGCATGTCTAAACTTGGGGAAGAGAAATATTGTTTGAATTAGGCCATGAATTGTGCTGTAAGCTGGGATGACATGATCCAGGTCCCACAGTCAGGATATGGAACCTTATTTCCTGGACAATAAAGTACACATTCTCCTTTAGAGGAGTTCTCCATGTGAACTTGCAGCCAGGAGCCTTCTCAACCAAGGCAGTCTAGAAACACATGCAGCCAGCGACAAAGTGGATTAATGTTGAAGGTACCTTGCTTTTCATGACAGTGACTGCCATTTTTCAGGTTTTAAAGGCCCTGAAACCACTTTCACAGCCACTGAAAGATGGAATGTGAGGGGGTTGGGGTGGTGGGTGCTTGAGGGGCTTGTGGTGAATGCTCAGGAGGTGAGTTCTTTAGGGTAACTTTTTTCATTTCATTTGAGATGATGAAAAAGCTAAGACCTCACATGACTAACTGCTGAACACTAAACCAAATTAATATGTACCATAACAATTCATGCATGGGCCCTCACATGCCTGCTGTTAACACATTTCCATCAGTTTGTACCCAAGCTACAGTGAATTCTGGAACATGTTGCCCAGGTTGTACTTTTTCATAGCATTTTCAATTTGTTTTTTGGTGTGGATTTGTTTGAAAATTCTCCTCTCCTTCTGCTAAGTAGATTAAATGGGTCCCTGTACAGGCTGACATTGAACATCTTGTGTTACTACCTGCTTAAATTGTCTAAAGAAAAGTAGCATTGCAGACCTGATTGTGGAGAGAGTGGGGGAAGCAAGTTTTCAACTGGAAATACGTTATTGTCTCGTAGTTGTGAGCGATGAAAATGTTAGCTATTGGAGCTAATTAGTATGGATGCTGAAACATTTGTATTATGTTTTGGAAATACGTAAGTTTTTTTTAATTTGGCTTGAAGTTTTACTGAAAAAATATATAGATAATAAATTTGTAACAGAGATAGTCGGAACTGCCGATGCTGAAGAATCTGAGATAACAAGGTGTAGAACTGGACGAACACAGCAGGCCAAGCAGCATCAGAGGAGCAGGAAAGCTGATGTTTCAGGGCTAGACCCTCCTTCAGATAATAAATTTCTTTTTCAAAGCATGATTAAATATTTTTCAAAACCTGTTTGACTGCAAATATTCTAAGCTGCACCCTGTAATATGTCAATGCAATTGATTAAAAGCTGTGAACTTAAAAACAAACTTGTTGAGATAATAGAGATAACAAGGTGTAGAGCTGGATGAACACAGCAGGCCGAGCAGGAAGGCTGACGTTTCGGGCCTAGACAAGAAATACTTCATTGAATTTGTTCTGAACTGATCTTGAGAAAGTAATTTTTTGTAATACTGCCCACCTAACTAAAACAAAACTGCTACCTGTTCATGTATTAAAAATAGAATTCTGGAAATAATGGGTGTGACAACAATTGTGGAGAGTAATAGTCATTGACCTGAAATGTTAGCAGTTTCTCCCTCCACAGATTCTGCCAAACCAGCTAAGTATTTCCAACATTTTTATTCTTCTTTCAGATTTTGATCTTCCAAAAAATTTTTCAACAGTTCATTAAAGTGCATGCATTATGTGAGATACTATAGCAGTTCAGGAAAATTACAAATAAGAATGTTTTGCTGTGTTCAAGGGAAATATTGGCAGAATGGTTCTCCTGCAGCTGTTACTTCAAGAATGTTGAGTCTTAATTGAACTGTTGTCAATAATGCAATGTGAAGCTATCCCTTAAAAGGTGAAATTATAAATGTGAGAGTTTAAACTGTGTCTAAAGAAGATAAAATGTCCCTTGTTATCTTTGACCTTTTTTGAAACACATCTATTTTGAATGCCTTAAACATATTTCACTTAAAACCAAATTCTGAACTTTGTAGCACCAAGGTTATAACCAAGAGGTATCCAGAGGAAACTATTGAATATTCTTGTCCATCATATCGTGCCTGCTGCAGGTTTAATCTTTTGAAGAATTTCCTTGTTGAAAGACCCAGTCTTGTTTCAGCTTTTTTTTTGTTTAATAATGAGCAAAGGTAAAGATCTTTTTTTTTTCTCATACCTCCTCTACTCCTGCCCCCAGCCAAAAGAAGTCTTGGGTTAATGAGCATAAACATGTAGGTAATTGTCCTGAGGAACTGTTCATAAAGCAGCTGCTTGCTGTTATGAGTCTTGTGATGATCCATTTATTGACATTCGAGGCTTGGCAGTAAATAATTCTCTTTTAGAGAGCCAAAAGTAATTTGGCACACTACAATTAAGTGAATTGCCCAAATGTTGCTGACAGAATTTGGCGTGAGCATAGAAATAATAAGTTTCCAAATTTCTTTTTGTGCTAAATAATGTAAAATGGAATAAGGATGAATTGAGTTTTCAAACTAGATTGTATGTGCACTGATTCTGAATATAATTCAAACTGACAGATGAGGAATAGTGTAGTCAAATCCAAATAAACAGGTTATCTGTTTAAACATACTCCCTGTTGTTTTGGGCCTTTGTCATACTACCAATATTTTCCATAAACTACTAACTTTGAAGTACCTTCACACATGCATCTCAAAGCACCAGAAGTATAACCAACTGGACAGAGTTGCGTTCATGTCTTGTATGAAGAGTGCATGGAGTCTCGACAAGAGTAACAGCCCACTGGCTTTGAAGATCAAGGCTGGAATACCATGAGGACTATAGACTTTGATATCCTACAGCTGTTTGATTGCGGTAGTCATCCTGTTGATGGTGGCTCACCCATAGATTCTATCAGCTGCCTCTGTGGATTCACAGTTGAAGTATTAAGAAGGCTTATTGCAACTTTGAATGACATTCTCATCCTTAAAAGAGACACCATCTTGTGGGTGCAGGGGATTTTGTCCAGGTGACCTTGGTCCATAGATGACTGATGAGTTCAAAAAAAGCACTGCTTTCCCTCCTCTTTCTAGGCGGTAATTTGCAGGTTTGTTCGCTGATGTCAGAGAAGCCTTGGTGAATGTATCTTGTATGCATTACTCGGTGTGACCGTTCTGCCCAACAGTAGATGAAGTGAATGCATAAAATGGTGAGAAGGATGCTAGTCAGACAACTTGCTTTATCCTGGATGATGTCAATCATCTTGTGTTATTGGAGCACTATGATAAGAACTTCTAATATGACACTTGCCTAATGGACATGTACTGCATCCTCTTCATTTTTTTTTTGGTTTAATGCCAATGTTCTTGGCTGATGCCAGTGTAGGAAAATATAGAGGAACAAGGCATATCCAGCAATAACCCTAATGTATCCCTTTAACTACACGTGTGGATTCTTGAAGTTCTTGTCCAATTTCCTTCCTCCAATAACAATGAGCCTTATTAGTTTTGCTGGAAAGTCTCCCCCATGAAACTGAAGCTCTGATAGATGTCAAATGTTCTATGGTATCATTTGAAGAGGAGTGGGTGTGTTCTCCACATTCTGATCAGTAATTTTCTCTCAACAATGTAAGTGAATTGAAGAAGGGTCACTGGACTGGAAATGTTAACTCTGCTTTCTCTCCACAGAAACTGCCAGAACTGCTGAGTTTCTCGAGCAATTTCTGTTTTTGTTTCAGTGAAGTAGTTTATTTTGTGACTGGTTGTCTTGTTTTGGAGCAGTTTGTATGCAAATTGATTACCATATTTCCTCGTTAACTTAGAAACCTGCTTTGGAAATATAATTCAGCAATTCACTGGGTGGTATGGTGGCACAGTGGTTAGCACTACTGCCTCACAGCACCAGGGACCCAGGTTCAGTTCCACCCTTGGGCGACTATCTGTGTGGAGTTTGCACATTCTCCTCCAGGTAACCTCCGGGTGCTCTGGTTCAAAGATGTGCAGGTTAGGTGGATTGGCTATGAAAAATCGCTCATGGTGTCCAGAGATGTGCAGGCTAGGTGGATTAGACATGGTAAATGCAGGGTTACATGAATAGGGGAGGGAGGTGGATCTCGGTGGGATGCTGTTCAGAGGGTCATTGTGTATTCAATGGGTCAAATGGCCTGCTTCCATACTGTAGAGATTCTATAAATTACTAATACAGTAGTTAAGTGTTCCCTAAGGGACATTAGTGAACCAAATGGGTTTTTCCAACAAATGACAATGGTTTGATGGTTATCAATAGATCCTTAGTTCCAGATTCAAAATCCACCATCTGCCATGACGGGATTTGAACCCACGTCCTCAGAACATGAGCTGAGTTTCTGGATTAATAGTCTAGCGATAATACTGCTAGGCCATCATCGCCCCATAATGAGTTGCAAATTAGTTTTTGGAGGTGAAGGAAAAAGCATGCAAATGTTGAAAATTGTAAAGGGAAGAAAAGAAAAGAGCATAAGGAAAAAGGAAAGACTTCTGAAGTATGGGAGTAATTGTTCAACCAGTTTAGGTTTCTCTGGTGTATTCCATCCCCTTCGCATGGGTGTGTACACACACACGCACAAACAGTTACGTCTTGGTTTCCATGCCTAGCACAGGGCTTGTTTCGTGATTTCTCAGTTGCAAGAAAAGACTTTGACCATTTGCCTGTTTTTCTTATGCGTGTTAACAGATATCCAGTATATTCTTTCTTACATTTGTTAATATTTTCTGTTGCCAGTTTGGAGAACCCAGTGACCTTGTACAGTATACAATAATATTTCAGTTTGTGAGTTATGGTTTTATGATCTACTACTGTTATAAAATTTAGCTCAACCCAGTTGCCTTGGTTTGAAACTAGCTAGAGTGACCAACCTGGAATGTTTGTGTAGAGGTGGTGGTCAACTATGTCAAGAAACCAAGCATACACGATGGCTAGCATTTGCCACTAGGCTTCTTGAGAGGTTGCTGCCTCATTTCACGTTATACTTTTTCGATTTTCTGTCATTGAAGGGTTTTAATTGATTAACTGACAGTACCTCTGACTAGAAACTGTGCTCCAGAAGAGAACATTGATACATATATATATATAGTACCTTCAACCATTGTGAAACACTTTCGTTTTGGTTTATGGATGAAGTCATTTTGAGGATTTAACTTCTTAAGAAAAGAAGGTGAAGCTCTGAATTGATGATTACTTGTTCCTATTTCAGTGGGGTTCCAGTGTGTATATTTGTTACAAGAAGTCTGTTCCTGCATCGAATTCAATTGCATATAAAGCTGGTAAGTAACTTTTTTAATACTTTTTGAAAGCTTTTAGGAAAACTATTTATGCTAATTTTACACACTTCTAAATTGCTAGTGAATGATCATGAAAAGGAAAAATAAGGTTTTCAACATTTTTTTGATCTACTGATTTACTTTTTTATTTTGGAGAGCCTGGTATTAGAGCTACTAGTCCAAGTCATAGAGCCAAAGTCCCAGCAGATAACTTTTATTAAATCTTTATGCCTCCCTTTTTGTTTAGATGTAAGAATTTTCTCTTTGTATGATTTGCCTGTTTGATTTACGCTCTTGCCACATATTAAATTTTCCCCAGATTGTGCATTTTTCAGTGAAGTTCAAGATGCTTCTCCGTTACAAGAATTTCTAAGTGTACAAGAGTCATGACAAATACTGAACTGCTTTTAAGTGACCTCAAGTGAGCCGTGCACCTAATAGATCTTTCCAGGGAAAATTTGCCTGGTAATAGAATAAGTGTTCTTGTAGAATAGAATAGCCTTTATAAGTGCAATCGAATGAGTGCAGTGAAAAATTTGTAATGTCGCCTCTTGGCGCCATCTTAGATACAGGGTACCTAGGTACAGATACTTTAGGTTTTTGTTACATAATTGAAACAGTAAAAGAAAGTTTAGCAAGGGAATGCAGAGTTTAAAAGTCCAGAATGAGAATCAAAAGTGTCTATAAAGTACTCCAGTTACAGTCCTCGTATTTCTTTTCCAACATGAGTTCATGCCCGCTGGACTTCAGAACATGAGGCTACGCTGCCTCCACGCACTGGCCTCTGTCCAGGACACACACTGCGCTGCCACTCTGGGACTCAGTCCGCTCCGCTGCTGCTTGTCTCCCTTCCTCTCGCCTCCTTTCCCCTCGCCTCCATTCTCAAGGTAGGGTGGGGTAGCATAAGAAGTTGGTGGGGGAGAGAAAAAGTGCTGCAAAGAGGGAGAAAAAATAAAGGAACAGAAAAGGAACTGGTGACGAACGGAGACATATCTCTGCCATCTTGAAGGAGTTCCGTTTCAACGTAAAGTTGGAGGAGAATAGTTCTCTGGTGAGCAGAGGTATGTATGTACACAGGAATTCAGAGCAGGAGTGGAATGTTCAACCCCTTGAGACTGCTGTGCCACTCATTACAACCTTGGCCTTCACCCTGTTTCATGGCTGCTGTTGAGCTAGCTATCTTTCGTACTCTAATTTCTCTCTCATCCATTGGGTTAAGTTTGATTAATTCAATATTTCACGTTAATTCAAATTATATTGAACAACTCTTCAGCCTGTACTACTTCAGGCTAATAATGTGACAGTATTACTATTTTTTTCCGCAACTTCCTTCTTCCTAACAGCACTGTGGGTGTACTTACCTGGAATAACTGCACAGAGGGTCACATCCTGTCACCAAGTCTCCCTTTATTTATGTATGTGGGCTCAGTACATGGGCTGACCAGCCAGCTCAGAGCCAGTTCCTAGGAAAGAGGAGACTCTCTAAATCTCCTGTTTGTATCTGTTGGCCAGGGTTCCCTGACTGGCCCAGGTTAACAACCCCAATCAAGGATCTCATAGTGAGATCCACCTGTCCCTCGTTCCATTCGTGATACTATCCCTCCACGGATGTTGGTAGTCAAGGGCAATAAGGATCGGGCCTAGTCACGTGAAGAAATGTTTGAAAACAAAGTGATCAGTTAAGTGTTGAAGATGTACTCCTATCTAAGTTGATGGTTTCTGTTTATTTACAATTTAGATTTTAGTGTCTCTGACAAAAGCAGATTTCTGTTTCCTGATAAGCTTGATTATGAAAGGTTATTTTTGCTTTTTTTACATCTATCTTCACCCCTCTCCTCCAACAACCCTGACACCTGATAATTCTGCCAAAAGATCTTTATCTATGACAGCGTCATGCATGTTACTAGTCATTTCTTTGACTATAGTAGAAACTAGTTCTTTTCCTGTGTCTTCTGAATAAAAAATTTCAGAAATACTGTTTGGATTTACTGGTCATGAGATTCCCTATTGGATGCAGTCAGTGATCAAGATACACCCTAAGCTCAGAAATGTCCTTTTGTCGAGCCATTTCCTTTCTCCTGTTTCTCTAAATAGTTATTGCACATCACTGAGTATTCAGTCTGCCATGGGCCAAAACAATGCGATGGTGTTATAGGTTTTTCAGAATGGCATTCGTTGTTTCTTCCTATAATTAGGTGGCAGTTAGGTGCCATTCAGCCCCTTTGTGTCTGTTCTGACTGAATAATTGAGCTGCCCATTAGAATCCCACTTTCCAGCATATGTTCCATTGTCCTGGAGATAACAACACTTAGGGTGCAAATCCAGATTCTTTTCAAATGATTTGAGAGTTTCTACCTCACTGACAATCTGGGCAGTGAATTCCAGATTCCTACCATCCTGTGGGTGTGTAAGTTTGTTCCTCCCAGCCCATGTAATCCTCCTACCAGTCACCTTTAATTTTGTGTGGCCCTGTAATCTTCTTTTGGGGAAACAGGTCTTGCCTTTATGCTGCATCCAAGCCTCTCATTACTTTGTGCGTCTCAATAAAGTCACCCTTCAGTCGTCTTTGTGTTAAGGACAACAATCCTAGCCTTTGTAATCTTTGCTCATAGCAGCACTTTACAAGCCATGGCATCTTGTAAATTTCCACTGTACTCGCTGTAAAGCAGTTCTGTCCTTCCTGAAATATGGTGACCATTACTGTACAACCAAACTCCAGCTGTGGTCTAACCATTGTCTTGTACAGCTCTAGCATTACATCTCTGTTTTTGTATTCAGTACCTTGCATAATGAAAGAGAGCATCCCATATGCCACCTTTACCACCTTGCCTACCTATCCTGACCTCCTCCAAGGGACCTGTGGATATGCATTCCAAGGGCTCTGATTGCCTTTATTTTTCTCAATTCCCTCCTATTTATAATATATTCCCTTGCTTTGTTTGTCCTCCCCAAGTGCATAACTTAGTATTTCTCTGGATTGAATTCTATTTACCACTTTTCCATCCACTTAACCAAACCATTGATATCATCGTGCAGTCAACAGCCATCGTCTTCACTGTTAACAATCTGACTAATTTTTGTCTCATCTGCAAATTTCAGACTCTGCCTCCTTTCGCGAATGAATTTTTGCGGTTTGGAGCTGGTAGCATTGTGCAGAAATGATCATATGCATTGAATCTCAATGATCTTGGCGAGAATATTTCAGTAACCAGACTACATAAGGCTGAAAAATGGGAATAAAGAGCAAGTGATGTCAAACATCTTTTTCTCCCAAAAAGCAATGCTTTATGACTAGCGAATGCTGTAGCACTTCTCAAGCAGTTACTGAAAATTTGCTTAGCTATTTGGGATTTAACAAATCTGCACAATATGTACATTACTCAGCCTGGCTAGTTGGCAAGGTAAATGTGATGACAGCTTTTAAAACTGAACTGTATCCCAGGATATAGATGCTTCAGGCGGGATAGAGAGGGAGGTAAAAGGCGTGGAGGAGTTGCATTACTGGTCGAAGAGAATATCACCGCTGTGCTGGAGGAGGGCAATATGGGCAGAGCTCAGAAATACGAAGGGTGCGGTAACAATATTGGGGCTGTACTGCAGGCCTCCCAACAGCGAGCGTGAGATAAAGGTATAAATATGTAGACAGATAGAACATAGAACATAGAACATTACAGCGCAGTACAGGCCCTTCGGCCCTCGATGTTGCGCCGACCTGTGAAACCAATCTGAAGCCCATCTAACCTAAACTATTCCATTATCATCCATATGTTTATCCAATGACCATTTAAATGCCCTTAAAGTTGGCGAGTCTACTACTTTTGCAGGCAGGGCATTCCACGCCCTTATGACTCTGAGTAAAGAGATTGTGGAAAGATGTAGGAGCAACAGGGTGGTGGTGATGGGACATATTAAGTTTCCCAACATTGACTGGGATTCACTTAGTGTCAGGGCTTTAGATGGAGCAGAATTTGTAAGGAGCACCCAAGAGGGTTTTCTAGAGCAGTATGTAAATAGTCCAACTCGGGAAGGGGCCATACTGGACCTGGTGTTGGGGAATGAGCCCAGCCAGATGGTTGAAGTTTCAGTAGGGGATTACTTTGGGAATAGTGATCACAATTCCGTAAGTTTTAGAATCCTGATGGACAAAGACGAGAGCGGTCCTAAAGGAAGAGTGCTGAATTGGGGGAAGGCCAACTATAGCCAAGTTCGGCAGGAGCTGGGGAATATGGATTGGGAGCAGCTGTTTGAGGGTAAATCCACAATTGATACGTGGGAGGCTTTTAAAGAGAAGTTGATTCGAGTGCAGGACAGACATGTCCCTGTGAAAATGAGGGATAGAAAGGGCAAGATTAGGGAACCATGGGTGACAGGTGAAATTGAGACTAGCAAAGCTTTGGAAGAATATCGGGAAAGTAGGACCAATCTGGAACGAGGAATTAAGAGGGCTAAAAAGGGTCACGAAATATCTTTAGCAAACAGGGTTAAGGAAAATCCCAAAGCCTTTTATTCATACATAAGGAGCAAGAGGGTAACTAAAGAAAGGGTTGACCCACTCGAGGACGAAGGAGGGAAATTATGCGAGGAGTCAGAGAAAATGAGTGTCGGTATTCACAGAGGAGAGGGACATGACGGATGTTGAGGTTAGGGATAGCTGTTTGATTACTCTAGGTCCAGTTGACATAAGGAGGGGGGAAGTGTTGGGTATTCTAAAAGGCATTAGGGTGGACAAGTCCCCAGGTCCGGATGGGATCTATCCCAGGTTTGTGAGGGAAGCGAGAGAGGAAATAGCTGGGGCCTTAACAGATATCTTTGCAGCATCCTTGAGCACGGGTGAGGTCCCGGAGGACTGGAGGATTGCTAATGTTGTCCCCTTGTTTAAGAAGGGTAGCAAGGATAATCCAGGTAATTATAGACCGGTGGGCCTGACGTCAGTGGTGGGGAAGCTGCTGGGGAAGATACTGAGGGATAGGATCTATTTACATTTGGAAGAAAATGGGCTTATTAGTGATAGGCAGCATGGTTTTGTGCAGGGAACATGTCTTAGCAACTTGATAGAATTCTTTGAGGAAGTGACAAAGTTGATAGATGAGGGAAGAGCTGTAGATGTCATATACATGGACTTCAGTAAGGCGTTTGATAAGGTTTCCCATGTAGGCTGATGGAGAAAGTGAAGTCGCATGGGGTCCAGGGTGTACTAGCTCGATGGATAGAGAACTGGCTGGGCAACAGGAGACAGAGTTGTAGTGGAAGGGAGTTTCTCAAAATGGAGAACTGTGACCAGTGGTGTTCCACAGGGATCCGTGTTGGGACCACTGTTTGTGATATACATAAATGATCTGGAGGAAGGTGTAGATGGTTTGATTAGCAAGTTTGCAGATGACACTAAGATTGGTGGAGTAGCAGATAGTGAAGGGGACTGTCGGAGAATGCAGCAGAATATAGATAGATTGGAGAGTTGGGCGGAGAAAGGGCAGATGGAGTTTAATCCAGGCAAATGCGAGGTGATGCATTTTGGAAGATCCAATTCAAGAGCGAACTATATGGTAAATGGAAAAGCCCTGGGGAAAATTGATGCACAGAGAGATCTGGGTGTTCAGGTCCATTGTACCCTGAAGGTGGCAACGCAGGTGGATAGAGTGGTCAAGAAGGCGTACGGCATGCTTTAATTCATCGGACGGGGTATTGAGTACAAGAGTTGGCAGGTCATGTTACAGTTGTATAGGACTTTTGTTTGACCATATTTGGAATACTGCGTACAGTTCTGGTCGCCACGTTACCAAAAGGAAGCGGATGCTTTGGAGAGGATGCAGACGAGGTTCACCTGGATGTTGCCTGGTATGGAGGGCGCTAGCTGTGAAGAGAGTTGAGTAGATTAGGATTATTTATATTAGAAAGACGGAGGTTGAGGGGAGATCTGATTGAGGTCTACAAAATCATGAAGTATAGACAGGGTGGATATCAAGAAGCTTTTTCCCAGAGTGGGGGACTCAATTACTAGGGGTCACGATTTCGAGGTGAGAGGGGAAAAGTTGAAGGGAGATATGCGTGGAAAGTTCTTTACACAGAGGGTGGTGGGTGCCTGGAACGTGTTGCCAGCGGAAGTGGAAGAGGTGGGCACAGTAGTGTTTAAGATGTATCTAGACAGCTACGTGAATGGGCAGGGAGCAGAGGGATACAGATCCTTTGAAAATAGGCGACAGGTTTAGATAGAGGATCTGGATCGGCGCAGGCTTGGGGGGCCGAAGAAGCCTGTTCCTGTGCTGTAATTTTCTATGTTCTTTGTGTTTTACATGAAGGTACAATTTGAACAAGGTGCATCCCACTCTATGACTTCTTTCCTCCTCAGGATTAATATGCCGATATCCTGAAGATGATTATGAATTATTTCCACTGTCCGAATCAGTTCCCCTCTTCTGCCTTCCCATGGGAGCTACAATTGAATGCTGGGCTCCTCAAACTAAGTATCCACTGCCAGTTTTCTCTACCTTCGTGTTGACCGCCTCATCAGCAGAGAAGGTAAGCTTAGAAGAAAGAAGCTTGTCATCTATCTTTTGTACATAAATAGTAAACGTAGGCAAATAAATACTTTGACACAAAACAATGTCATTTTTTTAAAAATGTACTGTAATAGGCTTGCATGAGATGATGGATTAAAACTTAAAACCATCTGCCCTCCTGCGTGGATGTTACACACCACATGTTATTTGATGAAGAGCACCAGAATTGTCTTAATAAATTTTCCCTTGACCAACATCAGTAAGACACTTAATTGATATTTATTTCATTATTGTTTGTGAAATGGGAATTTCTGAATTTACTGTTATTTTCCAACATAAAGGCAGTGCCATCATTTTATAAAGTGTTTCATATGACTGTGATGGGTTTTGAGTATCCTAAAGTTTGAGAAAGTGGTTAGTAAATGCTTGCGTTCAAAGTTGACTTGCACCTGACACAAAACAATACCAATGTTCATGTGTAAAAGTCATTCTACTTTAGGGTTGATTTTTAGAGTAATTCTCCAATGTCATAATGCCATTTTTGACCATTCCAAAAAGACAGGGCCATAAAAGACCTGCAGATTTCAGACAATGCAGGAGGATGGCCAGCACTGTTAGAGAAGACCTAAGCTATTCTCCGGAAGAGTAGAAGTCAACAGCTTGGCTATTAAATGAATATTTATCCAATTAGATTTGCGCCCTCTTGTTTTGGCATCTGCAAATGCACAAGATCCAAAGTTACTTGTTTCAAGGATTAGTCGTAGAGTCCACACTCACCACAGATTTTGAAAGACATACTGCTGAAGTCGTTTGATTCTTGACAAGCTCTGCTGAAGAGTATCCTGATTGGAAGGATCCATCTGATTTAGTGTTGTCTTTTTATTTGAGAAACTGATTTTACATATTTTTGTATTTTGGTCTAATGAAATAGGTATATGGTGCAGCTATCCAGTTTTATGAATCTTACCCAATGGAACTTCTAACTGAGAAACAGCTCATGCAACTGGGCCTCATCACTGCTGTGGGCAAGAAGTTAATCACGACCAAGTCTGTGCACACCAATAAATGCATCTGTCTTCTCTCGCGCTGGCCATTTTTTGAGGCATTTCGCAAATTCTTGATGTTTTTGTACAAGCTTTCAGTCTCTGGACCTCATCCTTTACCCATTGAAAAGTATGTATATTTTCTAATATGAATTGCTTTAAGAAGTCTGAGTGTTTCCAAAAGTACTGTGTCAAAGCCATATGTTAACTGTGCTTATAGAGTTAGGATTCCACTGAGTGTGAATGAAGGACACTTGGACAATTCAATCAAACCGATCCCAGATGGTGAATGTTAATGATAACATAAAGATGACTTATGCCCAATTCTATCTCAACCGATAGGGACACGTCTACATGTCTTCTAGCAAGTGTTTTGAATGGTGGTTTGGGATGACTTGCCCCTCCTTGGCTATATTTTTGGATTTCAAGTTGCTGAATAATTTCATTATACAGTCAAGCTGCTGCACGTTTGATTCCAGGTGCTGTTTTGCTCCCTCACAATTAACTTGGTGTTTCGATTATTTTGCTCTTTTGGATTCCAAAGTCTTGAGATGCTTTGATCTCGTGTTCGGGTTTTGAGAAGTTCATGTGAGACTGTCTAACCACAAATATTTTAACTGTTTTTAAACTGTGTTTTAAATATGTGTCTGAGACATAAAATGGTGACATAGCATTATAAAACAGTAATAACATTTTTAGTTTATCCATAACAGGAATTAAATGTGGTAGATTTCACATTTCAGCACAGTTCTTTGCTACCATCTTCATTCAGTCATTTATATATTGTCTGATTTTCTTGAATTCAGAAATTATTTCCATATTAATCTACTAATAATGTAAGCTTGTATTACAAATGTGTGCTCTGTAATAATGGCTTCGTTGCAAATTTTGGAAAATGTCAGTTTTATTTGCCAATATGATAGTTTGAGGTCAGAAGGCTAGCAAATGTATTTTTGCTGAGCTTTTAATAATTTAGTGTTGCAATTGTTACTTTAAGCTTACTTTTGCTTTTTGGATATCTACTCCTGGCCTCAGTCAGTTGCATAGTACTTGAAAATGTCATAGTTACTATTATCTTTCACTGCCACAGATGCTCATCTTCTCGTTTTTGTGTCATTGAACTGGTGTTTCTGGATTTTGGACTTCTGGATTGAAGATATTTCCACCATTTTTAAGAGTGAGAGGAGACTTGGGTTGGAAACATCCGAGTTGAACTTAAACATGGGGAATTATAATGAAATTAGGATGAAGTTAGCTGAAGTGGGCTAGGCAGATAGATGCAATACAGTGTGGAGCTGGACGAACACTGGTCAGGCAGCATCAGAGGAGCAGGAGAGTTGACGTTTCGGGTCGGGGACCCTTCATCAGGACTCTGTCTCTTGGCAGGTAGATGAGCAGGAATGACAGTAACCAAGCAGTGACATTCATTTAAAGAGGTAATTCCTGATTCTTAGCAAAAATATATCCCAGAAAGGAGTAAAGATTTATAGAGAAGGATAAACCAACCATGGCGAACCAAGGAAGTTATGGAAAGTATTAAGTTGAAAGGAAAAGCAAATAAGGAGGCAAAAGTCAGTGATGGCTCCAAAGACTGGGATGAATTTAAATCCCAGCAAAGTAGCACTAAAAAGATAATAAACAGAGAGAAAATGAACTACAAGGACAAACTAGTGAGGAAAATAAAAACTAATGGTCTTCTTTAAATATATAAAAAGGGAGAGGTCAAAGTGAACATAAGCCCTTTAGAAAATGAGTTGAGCGAGGCAGTTATGGGGACAACGAAATAGCAGAGGAGTTAGATATTTTGCATTTTTGTTTACAGTGGAAAATCCTATGAATATCTCATTTATCCTAAATAATATGGAAATGGAATTAAGTACCATCACCATCACAAGAGAGGTAGTATTGGACAAAGTAATGGGGCTAAAGGCAGATGGTCTCTGTACCTGATGATGGCTTGCATCTTAGGATCCCTAACAGAGGTAGCTGTAGATACAGTAGTTGCATTGGTTGCAATTTTCCAAATATTCTTGGAGTCTAGAGAAGCATCAATGGATTGGAATACTACCAATGTGACACACCTATTCAAAGAGGAAGGGGCGCAAAAAGCTAGTGACTATAGGCAATTAGCTTAACATCTATTGTTGGAAACAGTTATTAAGGAAGTAATAACAGGGCATTTGGAAAATTCTAGTCTCGTCAAGTCAAGCAGAATCAGCATGGCTTTATGAAAGGGAAATAGTATCTGACTAATTTATTAGAAATTTTGGAGGAAGTCTCAACTAGAATAGATAGAAGGGAACCAGTAGATGTGTTATATTTGGACTCCCAGAAGGCATTTGACCAAATCTCTTACAAAATGTTGAGTGATAAGCTAAGAGCCCATGATGTTGCATGTAGTATATTGGCTAATGGGCAGGAAATAGAGAATGGAGGATAAGGGGTTCTTTTTCATATTGATGACAAGTATCAGTGCTTGGATTGCAACTGTTTATAATCTATGTTAGTAACTTGGAGGAAGAAAGTAAATTTACTGGAGCCAAATTTGCAAATGACACAAAAGTAGGTGGTAAGGCAAGTTATGAGATGGATGCAAACAGTTTACAGGGAGAAATTGATAGATTAAATGAATTGGCAAAAAATTGGCAGAGTATAATGTGGGAAAATGTGATGTTGTTCATTTTGGAAGTGGGGATCAAAAGAATGGAGTATTATTTCATTTGAGAAAACCTGCAGAAAGATGCAGCACAAAGACTTCGGGGTTGGGGTGTGGTGGTGGGGTTGGTGTACATGTGCACCAAACACACAGCTAGCACACATGCAGCAGATAATCAGGGAGGGTAACGGAATGTTAGCACTTATTTCAAAGAGTTTAGAGGTGCTGGTGAAACCACATTGAGTACTGAGTAGTTTTAGTACCCTTATTTAGTGAAAGATATTATTTCATTGGAGGCGGTTCAGTGAAGGTTCATTAGGGATGATCCCCGGTGTGGAGGGATTGTCTTAAGAGCAAAGGCTAAACAGGTAGAGTTGGAATTTAAAGAGTCAGGTGATCTCATTGAGACATAGAGGATTCTTAAGGGGCTTGACAGGGTAAATGCTGAGTGGATGCTTCCCCTCGTGAGAGCCTAGAACCGGATGGCGCAGTCTCAGAATAAAAAGTGGCTAATTTAAGACTGAGATGAGGAGGAATTTCTCCTGTCAGAGGGTTGTGTGTGTTTGGAACTCTTGCTACAGAGAGTTGTGGGGCAGAGTCTTGTGTATATTTAAGGCTGAGATCAATGGATTCTTATCAGTAGATGAATAAAATGTTATGAGGAAAGTGGACGTGAGGAGTGCTGGATCAGCCATGATCCTATTGAATGGTAGAGCAGACGCAAGGGGCATAATGGTCTACTCCTGTGCCAATTTCTTATGGTGTTAAGTCAAGTGGCTGTTTTAACTTTTGCTGATCTTCATTGCAGATTTCTCTTTGACTAGCATTTATGTCCCAAAGTTATGATCTGAATGTTGGTTTTGAATGAATGCTTCTGTAAACATTTGTAAACTTTGAGCATCATGGAATCCAAGAAGACGTGGATAATTAACCATGCTGCGTTTGGTAGTGCAGATTCAGCTGATTTATAAATTAAGTAACAAAGCATTCAGCCACATGGTCTGTTTTTAAATCTGTTATTTTCCAGCAGTTGGAATTACAAATCTTGATTAATGGGCAGTAAGTTCACATAGAGCATTGATTATGGTAAATATCACAGACGTATTGTCAATTGCACCTCTCACTGAGATGTCTTTTGAGGAGTTCTGCAACAAAGGTGCCTTTTGTGGACTCTCACTTAAGTTTGGGGCTGTACTGTGGCTGTAACAGGAATGAGCGACTCAATACCATTTAAAGTGTTAAAAGAAGAATTTTGTTAAATAATTATTAAACCATTATGAAAGATAAAATGAAACAAAGGTGATGAAACCACAGTTGCTGTTTTCCTGATTAATGTAACATGTATTTCAGTGTCTACAAAGTAACTTTTTAACAGCTCAATGCAGGTTCTTTTAAATCAAAAATAAACTAAAAAATACAAAAATATACAATTGTCAAAATTAGTGATTGTAAGCTTATAATTCCCATTGGTTTCAAGCTGTTGTAGCCAACTATGAGAAGACACCCACTATACATGATTTTTAAACTTGAACTGTAATTAGTATGGAATCCTGTGGAACTGACTTTTGTTTTATAAAATGGATATTTAAAATGCTGCAAAAGATGGTTTGATCTGTGGATTCAGGCAGCCACACTGTCTTAGAAGGACAAAAAGACCTTCCAAAAGTGTCAATAGCCGTATCCTGCAGCTATCCAGAGGAGATTTCCCAACATGAATGTCTTTTTCAAAAACAAGGCAATGGTTTTTTTCAGAACCGTCTGGTGAATACCTGCGTATGTCTGAAGGTGCAACATTAAGGTTTCCAAGCCTGTTCCTAGTCACATCCACCAGCACAGTAAAACAACACACTAGCAATGAGATGTCCAAACAAAGACGAAATCTTGCCAGTGCTGGAAATCTGAAATAAGCAGACAAAGTGCTAGAGAAGCTGAGCAGGTCTGGCAATATCTGTGGAAAAAGATCAAGTTAATTTTTATGGCTCTTCAGAGCTGAAAGGAGCTGGAAAATGGTGTTTCACACTATTTACGGAACAGGAGCAGGAGTGAGAGGAATTGATAATGAGGGTGACCAAAGGAGTATCGTGTGAGCAGATGTTGGAGATGGAGAAAAAGATTTAGAGATTCAAAGAAAAGACAAATTTGTCAATTTGATATGTTAGAAGACTAGGAACTAATGAAGATCATCAAGGACAAAAGTACAGGATGAGGAATTATTGTGGAATAGGATAATGGGAGCAGAGGTTTGGATGAGTTCAAGGTTAGAACATGGGAACTGAGCAGGGGAGCACTAATAAGTTTTAATATGTGCTCCTAAGTAGGTAGTTCACTTCATTGGATAATAATTTTGGAGAAGGTTTTATCATTAGAAAAATCTTGAATGCTTTGATAGTCAAGGTGAGTTATTTGGAAGCAGAAGACTTGCCATGTTGTCAAGCCATTTGGCAGCATCAGATTAGGCATGGTATAGCTAGAATTAGAATAAACTGCCTTTATTTGTTGTCAAGTGTATCCGGTATTGCACCAGTGTAATGCTTTTCTTTTCCCATGCTAACTATCCTATTGCAGTTGAGTGAAGCTCTCCATTTGTGCTGAATTATCAATAAATTTGTACTGGGTGAAGAATGATTTTGTGGTTAGTGTAAGGCATCAACATAGCTCCTGTGTTCATTGCATCAGTTAGTGCAGGATTTGAAATAGGGACTTGGATGATAGCCAGCAACAAAAACGGTGAACTGCAGTGGCTCTAATTATTCCAGTTTTAACTGGAGAAGGGAGCCTTACAGTTCTTTAAGTCCTTGTTGGCTGTCTGCAGAGCAGTCCACTCCCTTGATCTGGCCCTGTCATCCTGCAAGATTATTTCCTTCAAATGCCCTGCCAAATTTATTTCTTTCCACATCTGCCACCTTTTTGGGTGGACTTCCAGGTCATTGTCAGTTGTGCTATTTTTTTAAAGTTCTCCTTTATTTATTCCTGTTTTTCTTGTCCTAAATTTTAAAAACTTCTTTCCCCAGTCCTCCTACGATCAGCTAATGGGAAATTTTTTTCCTTGTCACAATCCACCATACATTTATCAGATCTCCCCTCTCCAAGGAGGGTAAATCCAACTTTTCCGATCTAGTCTTGTAAATGCAATAGCACCTCCCTGCAGCTCCCCACCCCCCACCAAAAAAAACATCATTTCCTGGGAACCATTCTACTAAATCTCCTCTGCATAGCCTTTGTCTTTCCCATAATGAGATGACCACAACTGGATGCAATCGTGCGATGATGGTCAAACCAGAACCTTGTATAGATTCAGCATAACTGCTTTTGCACTTGGAGTCTCATTTTATAGGCTTATTCTGTTGGCTACTATGTTCAGTCAGTTCATGTTGGACATGTCATCGAAGCGTAAAGTACTGCTTGTGTTTGCTCTAAGGCCAATATTAAGAGGTTCACTTATCAATTGTGTTTTGTTAATTCACTGGGAGTAGTCACTTTCTTGAGCCTAAAAGTTACAGGCAAGTTTCTGATAATCATTGACTTTTGTATTTATTCACCATGCCTTGTGCTGTTACTTATGCTAATACCTACCCATTTTATTTCTTTTTGTTGATTAGTTCTTTGAATTTAGTTGAAGTTCACATACAGCAGAACAGTCAGTATCAAAACTGGGTCACAAGTAGAATACTGATTGATACTGCCTGGAGACATTTGTTGTGATAATATTGTTTTCTGTTTGTTGCACTTCTTCTGTTTAATGCATACTAATTATAATCGCTTTTGTTTTGCCATTTATCATTTTTTGAGACTGTTCTTATATTGTTTATAGGCATATATCCCACTTCATGCATAATGTTCCCTTCCCATCAGCCCAGAGGCCAAGAATCTTGGTTCAGGTAATGTGTATGCACATTGCTAGTAATACAAAATTAGCTGTGGAGAGTTGAATGTGATTTTTTTAATACAAAAAAGCAAGAATGTTATTATTTTTACTTAAATGGAACTTGATATTGAATATTTGTCTTCTGTTTTGTAGCTGTCAGCGCTTGATGCCTTGATCCTGTCTCAGCCAGTTTCAACCCCCTTGCCTTTAAGGTAAGCTGGAATAAGAAAAGCTATGGTAGTAATCATGTGATTTTTCTTTCCCCTAACCTAACGAAAGCTTCCTGACTTTATCCTGTTTTGCTTTTTGGCTTTTATCACTTCTCTGTTTGCCTCACACATTATCACGCCTGTATGCAATTTTCTTGGGCTATGTTTTAATCTTTCACTAATTTACACAACTTAGTTTAATTTCAATTCAGTTCTTACAAAGGAAACATATTTGCAAAACCGTAAATGTAATTAATTTTATGTAGCATTAGTTAGACCTGAACTTGTTGAATAAGTATGAACTAAAACATTACAACCTCTATCAATGCCCAGTAAACCAGTTTAGTGCTGTTTTAATGGCCAAGACGACCACTAATCCACTTGCCATGGCCATACCCCACCATGAGCAATTCCTGGAAGTGTTACATGTCACTTAAGGAACATTTTTGAATGCCAGCACTCCTCCAAATCACGCATAATGTCAAATTCATGACTGAATTGTTGGCAGAGAGCAATCCTCGATTTGTGTCTCTACATGTCGTCACTCTAATTGTAATTTGAAACTTTGACGATTAAGGACCATCTTTTTTTTCTGGCTACTGTGAGCCTGCTGGCACTGACTACTTCTGCTTAAAACCGGACAAGTTCATTTTTTATTGCATTAACGCACTCAGCCATGCATGACTTTTTATTAAATGGTTTTTGTAAAGGGTTTAATTTTTTTGTGTTCACCTATGTGCAAGATGTCATGCTGATGGAGTACTTTCTCCACTTTGGATCCCCAGTACCAACATTGATATTTTAAAGGGAAGGTATATCAGAGTGAAAGCCCTTGAGTCAGTCCTCATTCCTGCTTAGAACGGCTCCTGTCACACCACTACTTGCAACAGCAGTTGTGGATTCTGAAATTCTGTCAGTTCACCTCATTCAACTTAAAATGGTTTTGTCCTCTGTTTTTGCACTGTCATAAACCTGGCTTCAGATTGTCTAATCTCAAAGCAAATGTTACAATTGTTAAGAATCCAAAGCACTGTATGGTCTGCATTTGCAAAAAGATTGTCAGTTCATTATGATATCTACTGATTCTTTTTCATAAATTAATTACAATGATTGGTCAAGTTTCAGTTATTTACAACAAGGAGCGGAAGGATGAGTCAGACCTTTGATTTTATGTCAAGATATTAGCTTGTATATTATTTATTAAATGGTTAGTGGGCCAAATCATGTTTTTGTTTTAAGTAGACATTTATTTTTAACCATTAAATGCTTCAGAGCCTTTGAATTGGTCATTGTTTTAGTGTGGGTCATCATACTGATGGCAGAATTGAGAGTATGCTTTGACATTCCTATTGTTCCTCTGGCTGGAATATTGATTGAATGCTGCCACCAAGTTTGACCATTTTGCAGCAACTATTCTATAAACTCTGACTTTTTATTTAAAGATGCTGTGATGGAAGAGTTGATCTTAAAAGTTGCTGTTGGGAATGACGACTGGTTTTAAAATTGTTTCTGACCTGATTTAGAGAATACGTATTCTTGGCCCATGTATTAGTGCTGTGATTGGTCACATACAAGGAGATATCTCTATGAAAATTCATGGAGAAGATGGTAGCCCTACAGAAATACCTGCGTTTCAACAAACAATACAATCTGTATTGCAGAAATGCACATAAGTGATTCTGCAGTTGTAACTTAAGTATGTGATAAATGCATGTAAAAATACATCAGTTTTGGGAAACGGAATAAGAAAAAATGTTAAGTTACAAAAGGTATGAATATTTCAGGGACATTGTGGACTATTATACTCCATGGATGGAGATCTTCATAGTTTGATTGTCATGTTACTGCAGATCACAGAAAAATTATACTTTGTACTACATTTATTGCAATCGTTTACAAAAATTGTTTTGATTTTTTAGCTTTCTGCTATCCTGCTGAACCAGAAATAGTGTGCATAATTGCTTTATTTGGGAAACTGTCTTCTGTTGAAGATGTCATGTTTTTCAAGAGACTTTACATTTTTATTTGAATTTGTGACCCAATATGCAACTGTGTTGTGCAACTGCATTTTTAAAGCAGACATGCCAAAAATTTGACGTAGAAGTATCTATAAACATCATTGTTTTCCTATTTAGAGGAGCAAACTTTAGCACTTTGCTAATGAACTTGGGTGCCGAGAACTGTGCGACTTTATTGTATTTTGTGCTGATGGAAAACAAAGTTCTGCTGCACTCTCTCAGACCTGCGGTGTTGACAGGTGTGGCTGAAGCTGTTGTAACTGTAAGTATTTGTGTTCATCTAAATGCTATTTGGACTGGTATAAAGCTAGTAATGTGTAGTAAAAATATATTTACTTGTTTTCTGTTATGTTTTCAGATGATATTTCCTTTCCACTGGCAATGTCCTTATATTCCACTTTGTCCATTGTCCCTCGCTGGAGTCCTCAATGCCCCAATTCCATTTATTGTAGGTGTTGATTCACGCTATTTTGACCTTTATGATCCACCCCTGGATGTTGTATGTGTGGACCTGGATACAAATACAATATATCTGTAAGCATCCGTATTGCCTATTGTAGTTCTGTGGCTTCTTTGCTATTTTTAAGAGTTAAGAATTTGCAAGCTAGTTTTTGGGCTCACGTTTTTCCCTTCACGGAGGAAGTAATAGAAGTGTATTACTACTGTCAGCACTGAAATTTCATCCATGCAATTCTTTGTTCATCAGCCAGAGTTAAACATTTTAATTAGGTAGTTGTGTATTTTTATTAAAATTAATGTGGTATTAGAGAAGCTTAGAACACAGGAGGCCACTTGTCCTTTCATTTCTATCTATGCATTTCAAAATAGTTATCTCGTTAGTCCACTTCTCTTTCCCCATAACCTTAAAATGTTACTCACATATGTCTGATTCGTCTCTGAAGTTTAAACTGTGTATCAAAAGGAAAAGCCTGATGATAGTAGCCCCTGAACTGAACTCAAAAATGAGCAACAAAACTGAAAGATAACAGCTTGTTTTTATTTAGTTACTCTTTAACATTGTAAATCATCCTAAGGTACTTAATCAAGGTTCAGGCAAAACTTGTCACTAAGAAGTAATTAGACATTCAGATAAGTGGCCAAAAGTGTAGTCCAAGAGGTAGGTTTTAAGGAGCAACTTGGAAGTGAACAGAGGGAATTTCAGACTTCAAGGCCTAGGTAACTGAAAGCATGGCGGCTGTTGGTGGGCTGCAAGAAGGTGGGAGTTCACTAGGGATACAAATGGAGGAACAGTGTCTGAATGGTGAGTGTTAAAACTGCAGAAGGTTATAGAAATGGACTGGAAGGCTATCAAGAGATTTGTACATGAGAATAAGCATATTAATTTCAGGTATTGGTAGACTGGGAGCCTGTGTAAGTCTGAGGGTTAGTAGGCGAAGTTACAAGCAAAAAAGCTGGGGAGTCTCTGGAAAGCTGCAAATTTTAGTTGAGTCTGAGGTAAGGGGAGATGAAAATGACAGGGGGATGCAAATGAACTCAATCCAGGTGGAGTTAGATTGGAGTTAAGGTACAGTGTTGGAGCACTGTAGAGGAAGGTTTGCTTTACGCGTATGCGTCCGACCTGACCTGAGACTGCTCATTACCTTGTTCTGGCTTCTTTTTTTTGTAGATCTGATGACCGGAAAAATTTAAACTGGAAGCAGCTTCCAAAAAAGCCTGGGAAAAATCTCTTCAGCTCATTGGTGAATCTACAAAACCAGCTTTCACTGAGTAAGAAAGCAAAGGAATAGTTTCATTTTTGAGAAGTTATAACCTAATCACTGTTTAGAAGCTGCAATATTGATATTCTCAATCTGTACTCAACAATGAGAATTTATTATTCTGAAAGTGGAACCGATTTGGTAATTCTGCAATTTTAGTTTCAGAAATCCATCCCCCTTTTGTACTCGTAGATTTTATAAAGTTTATAAAACCATCTGTTAAAGCTTTTGGTATCAGAGCAGTAATTCCAAATTTAGGAGTATAAGTTCTTGAGTGGAGATATCAAAACTGAGGTTGCATCCCCTCAGCAGAGAAAAGCATACCTGTTATTAGGTTCCCAGGAAGGTGATGGAAACATTAGATTTAGTATTGTGTTTATGGCTGCATGTAATCGGTATATAACAGCAGGAATCAAAGAGCACTGAGCAATCTTAGACTAGCATTTCGGTTTTTGGGTACCTATTGGTCCAAGGTCTTTCAAGGCTACTATTCTAATTAACTTCAATCAACCAGTTTAGTCATCTTCTGATACTTCCAGGACAGGTGGGACAATCCTGATTCCAGGTTTTGTGCTTAAATTATATTGCCCATTGGTTTTAATTAGGCAACAAAATGGAAATTCAACATGAATTCTATTCATTTTTGAGTTAAGCAACTTAAAATTAGACTGTCATACTAGTTAATGTACCTTTGACTTAAAGTTGAAAATATATAATGTGTAGGTTGCCTTCTGCTATCTTCTTATTTATTTGCCCATGCTTGGTGAGCATTTTAAATTGCTGGATCATCATCAAGCTCAAGAATTACTGAGTACTATGCAGTCTCCAAGATAAAAATATATTTCTGTCATGGTATCCATAAAAGTATGTGCTGTTCCAATTATGATGTCAATAATTGCCCTTCACAAAATAATCATGACCTCTGCCATTTTCTGTTCAGTCCTTATTTAGAAAATCCAAAATAAATTGTTGAAATCATAACACATTCCAATCACCTGAATTGTTATTTGCAATCTCAAATATCTGTTTCTGAGGACATTTTAGTTCCTTATCATTAAATTCATATTCTGGTTGGCTGACTAAGTTTCAGAGTGAAGTTAAATGCGGATATGTCTAATTGTCAACAAATTTAATTGGTATAGTTTCTGGACATTTTGAGTTCTGTTGGTTTCTATAGTTCACAGGAGAGCACAGGAAGGGTCTGCTGTTGAGATGACACCGATAGAGGCTGATTTTTCATGGCATAAAAAGATGATTTCATTGGAAATGGAAATCCAGGAGGCCTTTTTGCGTTTCATGGCCTCATTATTGAAAGGATATAGACCATACCTTAAACCAATAACACAGGCACCTTCTGAGAAAACCACTTCTGCAAATTCACTTTATGATCTGCAAGGTATTTTTTAATCTTACATATGTGATGTATTGAATTTCAGTATCTCAACAGTCAGTTTGTTTGATTTAGTTTTTGTGCCAAAAGTTAAAAGTTGGGTCCAGCTAAATCACGAAGTTAAACTTTTTCTTTCGTTGTCGTTATTTTGTTTGAAATAAGTTTTATTCTTTAGTTAAGAACATGGCATGTAAACCTGAGTAAACAAAGTAAATTTCTTTTGGAGGCTTGCACCAATTGGTTTGAATGCCAGTGAGAACTTTCTTATTTTACTTAGCTTGAGCAAGACAGCTGCATCCCTAATATGAAAGAGGCTGTCACTTGTACTTTTCTTCCATTTAAATAGAAATACGATATTAAAGATACCAAGCACTTATTCTTTGGGTCCTTTGCTTCTGATAATCAAGCAGTAATCTTAGAATACAGAGTAGAATATCCTTTATTGTCACATGTACTCCAGTACAAAAGTACAGTGAAAAGTTTTTACAATGGTGCCATTTTAGGTACAAGTACCTAGGTACAAATCTTGCATAAATTTAGGTACAAATCTTTGCCAGTAGTTATATATCTTTGTTAAATGCTAATTGAATCTAGTTTCTCTATACTGCCCCCGCTATTCAGTACCTCATTAAAGCTGCTGTTTCAGCTCACAAGTATCATCCCCTGAATCAAGCATTGATTTATTCACAAAACCCTCATCTTCGGACAGGAACATAACTCTAGCATGCTGGCAAGCTGAGTGTAAAAAATTCAGTGAAAATATTTACAGGAGTGGTGCATTTCTGAGCAAAACAAAGATGGATGAACTGTCTACAGATTTCTGCCAGAACCAGTTGAACTGATTGCTAGGAAATACTTTAGGAAGTAGGGTGTGCTGCTTTGAGATTTGTTTTTATTTCCAGCTTCCCTGCTGGAGTACATTTGCTCCCATTTAGTAGTTCAATTGTGATGATGTGGCCGTGATCGGAGTGGAAATTTACAGAAAAGCATCCATATAATCTTCCTTATGTGATGACGCTTTGAAGCATGTCCATGTGTTTCACTTTCCTCCCTCGTTAGAATTGTATAGATCTACAGCCCTGAAAAAAGGCCATTCAGCTCATCAAGTCTGTGCTGGTCAAAAACAACCGCCTAACTATTCTAATCCCATTTTCCAGCACTTGGCTTGGAGCCTGGTATGCCTTGGCATTGCAAGTGCGCATCTAAATATTTCATAAATACAGTGAGAGTTTCTGCCTCTGTCACCTTTTTCAGGCAGTAAGTTCCAGATTCCCCCCTCACCCTCTGAACCTCCTGATCCTTACTGGATCTACATTCCCATTCCACTAAAGGGAAAAATTTATTTTCATCTACCCTATTTGTATCCCTCATAATTTCGTATATCTCGATCATGCTCCCCCCACCCTCCGCCTCCTCTACTCCAAGGAAAATAACCTCAGTATGTCTGATCACTCCAGAACTAAAACTCTCCATCTCGGGCAACATCCGAGTAAATTTCCTCTGCACCTTCTCCTGTGCAATCACGTCTGCCCTATAATGTGGATTCAAGAACTGTGCACAGTACTCTAGCAGTGGCCTAACCAAGATTTGACAAAGCTTCAGCATTACCTCCCTGCTGTTTAAACTCTCTGCCTTGGCTAATAAAAGCGTATGCCTTCTTAACAACTTTATCTCCCTGTCCTGCTGCCTTAGGGGACGCGTGGGCATGCACACCAAGGCCCCTCAGATTTTCAGTGCTTTCTGGGCTTCTACAATTTGTTGTGCATTCCCATGCCTTGTTTGTCATGCACAAGTGCCTCACTTATCGCTGTATTTTACTGTTTTTTTTCTCACTGTGAAATACACACGGCAATAAAATAAAATTCAAAAATCATTTGCTGACTTATCCAGATTGGTCACAAATGGAATTCAATCAGTCCATCTATATTCTCCCTGTAATCTAAGACTATTCTCCTCACTGTTTACCATTCTATCAATTTTTGTATCATCTGTGAACTTTATCAATCAACCCTCCTGCATTCATTCTTTTCACTGATTTGCTATCCTAGTTACATGATCTTTTACATTTTGGCTATTGGTGGAATTGAATATTGTTGTGCCTTAAATTTTTGCGGTGAAAAGTGTAACATGAACATGAACCTGGATATATTTTGGAAGATAATGATTTCACTTAAATATTGAAATTATAGAATTTTACAGTACACCAGCAGGCCATTTGACCCATCATTGTCTGTTCAAGCTCTCTAAAGAGCCACCCAGCTAGTTCTGTTCTCCCTCCCTATCTCTAGTGCTCTAAACATTTATCACTTGCAAGTACATACCCAGCTTCCTTTTGAACCCTCGTATGGAATCTGTCTCCACCACTCTCCCAGGCATTCTGCATTTTAACAATACTCTAAGTAAAAAAAGTTTCTGCTCGTCTGACTCCTCTCTCTCTTACTGACAATCTTGAAATTATTGCTCCCTAGTTTCCAACTAGTAGAAACAAAATATCTTTCTTAATCCTGTCAAAATTGTTCATAATGTGAGCACCTCAATAAGGTCACCTCTTAATCTTCTCTGCTTCAAGGTGAATAAGCTCAATACCTGTAATCTTTCTTTATATCTAAGTCCCTCTCCATTGTGCACTCTCCAGGGCTTTAACATCCTTCCTTAAATAAGGTGCCCAGAACTGAACACACTACTCCAAATATGGTATGACCAATGATTTGTAGAGATATAGCATCACTTCCTTGGTTTTGCACTCTATGCCTCCATTTGTAAACCCAAGGATCCCATAAACCGCCTTAACGGTTGTTTCAACTTGCCTGGCCAACTTCAGCAAATTATGCATTTGAATTCCGAGGTCCCTTTGCTCCTGCACTCCCCCCAGAGTTGTACCATTTGAGTCTGTATTGTCTCTCATGTTTCTTCTACCAAAATGCATTCCCTCGCATTTCTCTCGATTAAAGTTCATCTGTTAGTTGTGTGCCCATTTGCCCAACTTGTCAGTGTCTCTCTGAAATTGCTCTGCATCATCCTCACAATCCACTCTTCTCCCTTGCTTAGTATCATCTGCAAATTTAAAGATTTTGCCCTCAACACCCATCTCCAGATCATTTATTAAAGTGAGAAAAATCAGAAGTCCCAACACCAATTGCTGGGGAACACCACTTTGAATTTGTCTCCAGTCTGAGAAATGCCCCTCCATACATACCCTCTGTTTCCTATCTTTTGTCCCAGGCAATGTGCATATTTGTTGAGTTGGCAGAAAAGTGCCTCTGCCAACTATGGACCCTGTTGAAGTCTGCAGATCTTGGCTTCAGAACTATTCTTGTAAAGATTATTTCTGGAGAAGTAGCAGTTACTACCACTTCTGTCTAATCTTGAGATAACTTGAAATTTATTAGATATCAAAGAAATAAGGGTTACCAAGGAACTTGGCAATGTTTATTGCACAGCAATAAAATTTTAAAAACCTTCTTTGTTCTATCCTTAAACTTCCATTCTTGCTTTGGTTCTGACAACCAGCTTAATGTGGAAATCTCCTGAGTTGAGAGAAATAAATAAAACAATATAAAGAAATGTTGAATTGTGTCCTTTTTGGCAGTTGATGTGGTAGTTGTGATGAAAGACTAAGTGGTGCGGCTGGGATATTGTACTGAAGCATCTGCTTGGAGGTTATACCATCCTGATTTGACATCTAATTGTAGTGTTTTACCTTTGGTAGGGTTCTTGAAATCTCGAGATCGAGCACATCACAAATTCTATGTTCAGTTGACTAAAACGCAGATGTTTATTCGTTTCATTGAAGAATGTTCTTTTGTGAGTGACAAGGATGCTGGCCTGGCATTTTTTGATGACTGTATAGATAAGGTAAGAATTTACAGTTCTTGAAATATCTTAGCTGAATTTCATAAATGCTTCATATTGTTGCTTTATGGCACATTTATGCCTAATGACTTGCAACTGAAGAATCCAATTTCCTAAGGAAATTTTTGACTGGCACCTTCTTATCGTTTTCAAGTAACTGCAAGATCATAAAGTGTCATGTTAGAAAATAGAAGTTCATAGCTCTTGAATATTAATAGTCCATTACAGTTTGTTAGTAAATTTGTTTAGCCATTAATTTTAATATTGATCACATATTAATATTTCTTGCAACAATAATTGAATTAGAAAAAAATCCTGCTTTCTTAAAAATTTCCACTACTTTTACCCCCTTGCCAGCTTTTTCATTCTGAAAAAGGCACGGAGAAAGGAACCAAGGTTAGTATGATCTGTTTGTAGTTTTTTCACTTAACTTTTTTCCTATAAGCAGCAGTGATTCACTTTCACAGCTCATCTGGTCTTCATATTCATTTTGGTATGAGAGTAGTGCATGAATAATTAGCTAATTTTGAGCACCAGGACAAAGTGAACAGCTATAAAAGCAAAATTACTGCATCTTCTGGAAATCTGAAACAAACACCGAATGCTGGAGAAACTCAGTAGCTCTGGCAGTATCTGTGGAGAAAGAAACAGTTAACATTTTAAGTCTGATAGGCTCTTCCTCAGAATGAGGTAAACGGGTAGATCGGTTAAGCAGGTTAGCAGGGTTCGTGATGAAAAAGATCATGCTGTGATTGAAGATCACCTATTCAGATCAGAAAGAACTCGTAGATAAGTCAGCTTAAAGTTAGTACAGGGACTGCAGTTGTGCTGAGAAAGTACAAAATATTTATTTGGGGTGATCAGTGAGGCTTAGCACGTGAACAAGTGGCTCTAAAACAAAAATGTGTTCCAACGCTTGAGTTATGAGATGAATTTTAAAGGAGGCTTTAAAAGGAAACAGGGAAGTTGAGAATCAGAAGTGCATAGAAAGATAATTTGAATTGTGGGTAGAGGCATGGTTGTCTCTGTTAATATATGATGTTGGCATGGGCCAAGTCTTGAGGTATTGACAACACAAGAAGCGATACAATGCTGAAAGTGATGAGAGATGGTGGAAGGGAGAAAACCTTGATGGATTTAAATCCAATTGAGAATTTTCCTTTTTAAGGTGTTGGAGTGGGAGTCAAAACGGGGAACCAGGACAGAGGTAGTGTCTCCAAGTGGTATTATGCAAATTGTACTTTCTGATGCATTCATGCGATGGGCAGCGGTTATGGCGCATCCTTAACTGCTCTCTGGTCAATTAAGAGTCAGTGACATTGAAGTGAGCCTGAAAACCAGACTAGGTAAGGATAGAAGATTTCCTTCCCTACGGACATTATTGAACCGGATGGGTTTTTACATAAATCAACAGTAGCTACGTAGTCACAATTCGCCTTTTCATTTCAAACTGCAAGTGCCTTTATGAAGGGGAGTGTGAAGCCACATGGAAAGGTACTAATTTCCTGCATTTATGAACACCAAGGTTGATTCTGACTACACTGAAGAGACAAAGCTAATTGAGCTGGATGAGTCACAGAAGAGTGAACACACTGTCTTTGTAATGCCTCTGGAGCCTCCACCATCGGATGGAAAAGATCCACCAGGAAAATTTAGGTAATGTATCATAGTCTTGGTGAAAGCCGTTTTTGTTTGTGTGACAGCAAGAAGCGTAGTCATTGAAAGTGATAGTACTGGATGCTGGTTGCAACTGGATGAATGAGGGTGGAATCAGTCTAGCACCCCCTCCCCTAGTGGCAAGACTGCCAAGAGCAGGAAGTTGATATGATCAACTTCGTCAAAGCCTGCAGCTTGGTCAACGAGGATTAAAACAGACACATAACAAGTCACCTAGCAAAGCCGTAAATGACATCCTGTGATACATTCTGGTACCGTGGAGGGGATGGAAACAAATTGGAGCAGATTCAGAATTGAAGTTCCAATAAATTTGAACATGCATTTGGGAGATACCACACATTTAAGGACTTTGAAGAGGAAAGGCACGTAGGTAGGAGATGGGGAAATTGCTGTGCAGTGTAGCGTTTGGTAGAGGAATGGTAAGGGCAGATTTAAATAAGAGGAGCTCTACGTGAAGGAAGAACATTTAACAATATTGACTAATATGGGTTCAGGTGGTGATAAACATTTCAGTGAGTTTGATGGAGCAGGGAGTCGGCCTCCTGGACGAGTTGAGCGCAGAGGGCATTCGGAGGGGAGTAATGAGAGAATAATGCTATTTTAGACCGAGGATAAGGGAGGTATGAGAACATCAGCTCTGGTGGGCTAACGGGAACGGAGTGAAGGGACAGGAGCTGAATGGATGGTGTCAATCTTTTTGACAAAGAAATCCATGAATTTCTTGCTCTTACTCTACAGTCATAACAGCACAAAAGGAATGAGTCCATTTAGCTAATCAAGTCCGTGCCAACACGCTCGAGGAATCCAATCAGTCCCATTCTTTGCTGTATTCCCATGGCCCTATCAGTTCTTTTCCCTGAACTGCCTGTCCACCTTTATCAAACCTATCATAATTTGTAAATCTCTATAAAATTGGCCCTCCGTTTTCTTCACCCTAAGGAGAACAATCTCCATGTTTCCAACTTTACCTTGTAGCTAAAATGTCTCCAACCTGGAAAATTTCGGATAAAATGAGGTCATTTGCACCCATCCTAAAGTGCAGTGACAAACCTAGATGCAGTACTCCAGTTGTGCTTTATAAAATTAATTTTAACTTGCCTGCTTTATCCTCAGTAGCTCAATTTCTGAAGCACAAGGTCAATTTTGTTATGGTCTTGGATGAGACCACCAAGTTATGATCATAGTCCTGATCACCCACTTATATGATTTGACTCAGCACCAGTAACTTTTACTTTTAAAATCAACCGAGTATGAGATCAGGGGATTTGGTAAGGAAATAAAGCCATAAGACTGTGTAGTTTTGAACAAACAATGAATTTATTTAGAACACTAATTAGTTAGAACACTAATACGATGTATAATAATATGCACAAGTTATTTCTAACTCTGAGATCTCCAGTTTCTCAGCGACTCTTTTCCTCCCCCTGCCCCCAGCTATCCTCATGAATTGTGTTGCAAGCACTTTGGTCTCAATCCTGTGAGGTGAACATATCCCTTTTAAATAAGAGGGAGCATAATAGTTACACAAAACAAATCAACAGGAAGCAAAGGCTTAGTGCTTCTCAATCTGTTAATTATTCTGTTCCTGTTGTTATATGGTCAATCATTTTTATTGTTATAAACATAATGATCACAAATGTATCACTCCCCAACCTCAATGTTTGTATGACTTTCATGTTTTTTTTGCTTCTCAGCCTTGTTTTAGACTTCCTTAACAAAGCACCAGTATTTAATCAAGCTGAAAGATGCTTTTGTTCATTAACCTACTCGGTTTAAACCAGATGATACCCCTTAAAACAATTAATTTCATGTCTTAGCTATTAAATTGTATTGTAATACCTGTATATTGGAATTTGGATTGTTAAAATTATTATATTTTATCTAGAAAATGCACAAAAGTATTTACTCAACTTGCTTTTGTTGCTTTCATCTTAGCTACAAAACTTTTCCAGTGCTTAAACCAGAGCTGTTTGACAGACCACAGGAATTAAAAATGCCAGTCAGTCTTTTAGTTGGAGCTACTATCCCTAGTAGTCCAGCCCTCATGGCAAAAAGAACAAAACAGGTAAGGGATCTTGTATGAATAGGTTCTTAACTTTAGTGCATGGTCACACAGATATCCTGTAAACAGCGTAGCATTTCATCTGTGTTCTACGAGAAATTTTGTTCACGTGTCCTAATGACAGGTATGAACACATAGCTGAATATTTTGTAGAAACAGCTTTCTAATGGAAAATGTAACACTATTACTGTAAAAATGTTAAGTCAGACTTTGGCTAAAATCTGAAGCTTCTATTGAACCACAGTGAGAATATTTTTGGTGAAAGCCATATACTGTGGCAATGTTTAATTACTTCATAATGATCTGTACTTTGTTTCACAGGAAATAAAAACTGCCCATAAAATTGCAAAGAAATACTTCTCAATCCCTGCACTTTGGTCCAAGTGCTTGTTCAGCCATTGTTACAGCCTTTGGTTCATTTGCTTACCAGCATATGTTGGGGTCTCCTATTCCAAGGTCCAAGCACTGCAGCAAGCATACGGTGTTCTCATCAAAATGAGAAATATGAAGGTGGATCCACTGGATGAGGCAAGTGCACATTTCACCACAAAAGGTTTCTTTAGTTCAGTTGATCAATGCAGAGTGGTGTAGAGATTTGTTAATTATCCTTGAGTCTCTGGCCCTGGAAAGATGAATATTAGTTGACTGTTCAACATAAAACCATTTTATTTGCTACAATTTCCGATGAATAACTATCGCTGACTTAAATGTTCAAGATTTTTTCACAAAATCTTCAATCGGACTTCATAGGCTGAATGTCTGTTGTTGTTCCTATATTAACAGATTAAGAAATGTTTCAGTATCAGTGTTGTATGAAATTGAACTGCACTTCTATTAATATTATTCCTGCTCACTGTTAAAGTTCTGTTCTATGCACAAGTGCAATTTACTATTTTCCTTTTCACTATGTATAGGTGTGCTACAGGGTTCTGATGCAATTATGTGGGCTCTTGGGCCACCCAGTACTTGCTGTTAGAGTACTGTTTGAAATGAAAAATGCAGGTGTACAACCAAACGCCATTACTTATGGTTATTACAACAAGGTATGTAAGAAAAAAAACTAAATCTATTTGCCTTGTACTGGAATTTTGAGTGTTTTCTTTCTTGGCCTTAAAGCTATTAGTACAAATTATGTTAGACCAACTGGCTTTCTTCATCAATAAAAGACCTTGTGTAGCGGCTTTTTGTTTTGAGGCTATCACTAGAAGGTAACTGGTATTCCTGATGCCTTTTTGTTTGATAGATCAATGCAGCAAGCAGAAACATGGATTTTCACAATCTGTACTGGCTGTCTCTTGCATGACTTGGACAAAGGAATTCAGCGACACCCAAATGCAGTTGAAACTGAGAATTGAACTATGAGAAGACAAGTGCAGTTGACACAGTAGCAGTGTTGGGGCTAAGCAGAACTTAGGATGACACCCCTGGGAGAAACACCCCTTCTAGAGTTCACTGCCTTTTGGGATGACTTTTCAGGTTTGGTTTAGATTGTTCTGTGCAGGCCTGTAGGAAGTCCATGCGCTGATTGGCTGGTAGTGCAACTTTTTGTAGGTGTACTTGATTGCACAGGTTGAATATGTTATACCTTTTCCATGTCGACAGATGTTGGGGTATTCTTTGTGAGTTACTCAGTTTACAAGACAAGTTTCCATGAGGAAGTGAGATATGTACATGAGGGTGAAAAGAATAGAAAAAATGATAACTGGGAATCAAGCAATTGTGAGAGAGGCTTACTACCAGATATAGGTCAGATATTGGGGCATAGCACCAATAACTAGTTCTTCAACACAGAAGATCAGCAATTACTGTTTTCCAGTTAGTTGTAAATAAGAGAGAGTATTAACAATCTTTTTTTGTTTGCAAGATTTTTGCGCCTTTGATTTTCCCTTGTGACTTTGTTCCCCTACCTTTTTTTTGTCTTTTGCTGCTTTTGTTTCCTTCTTTATCAACTTGCAAGTAGTCACCTGGGTTGTCAGAACTTCTGTCTCAGTAGGTGATGGTGCAAACCAAGCTAAGATTCTTAAACAACAATAGCTGAACCTGAATCTAAGAATAGTTGCATATTTCAGTTGTTCAGATATCCAGGACTGCCTACAATAAGAGTTAGTATCTCGCTCACAAGGACAAAAGTCCTGAACAAGTTAATTTAAACAATTTATCATCTGACCGATACCTGGTTAACATGGAGCAATTAAATGGTACATATTCACATGTTTAGAAATAGGTTTGACAGATGAATGATATCATAAAATGTGAGTTTTTGTGAAGGTTCATAATATCTTATTTTAAGAACTTGGGTTCAAAAGTTGAGGTGAAATAGTTTTTAACTTTTTCAGTTGTGTAAAGATCTGATTTCCTCTTCCCCCACTGATCAGAAAATAATTTTGTACACTGACCTGACAGCATAGAAGTCATGTGATTTTATCCAAATTACCAGTAAGCCACCTGGGAAGATGATTCTAGTGTTTGCAGGTTTGAATTTTCCAATGACCAGAGGGAGAGAAGAGGTCAAAGCAAGGCCTTAGTCCTCACCATCCTTTATTATGGCACTGAGTTGTGAGTTCTGCGCTACTGTCATGCGTGCCTTCAAGGGTGCTTCCACCATTGCTGCCTCCAACAGCATTCTCAACATTCACTGGCAGGATCAGATCAGAATCATTTCAAGGCCAATAGCAAAACAAGCCTTTTGCAAAGCCTGCTGCACTAAGGAGGTCATCTTGCCTTGGAAGAGGACAGCTGCCTGCCCAATTTAGTGTTGTCTAGAGAGCTGACTGTCAGTTTTATAAAAAGAGCAGAGGGGCCTCATTCAAACATTACAGGGACTCCCTGAACAAGTCCCTCATTGTATGGCACATTGACCATTGCCAATTGCCAATAGAAACCACAAGCAATAGACTGTGATGCCTGGAGATGCTTAGGTGTACTGCAGCCATCTTTGAGACTAATCGGCGAATTAGTATGAAAGGGAAAAGGGGGAAAGTATAGATCCAACTGTGGCAGCATTGACTATTCATTGACATTCACATGCTGTGGGAGAATTTGCTGGTATCATATAGGCCTGATGAGCCACCACCAGCCTGCAACCAATTAGTAGAACCTTCCTAAAAGCTTGGTCCACAAAGAAATGTTAAGAAGTTAGTTACGTATATATATTGCCAAGAATAATTTTCAAGTTGGCTGAACTCCAGAATTATACAGCATCTAATGTTGTATGAGAGCTCATCTTGCATGTACATGCACAAGACTTTTCTGGAATTAAATCTCCCATTAGAACGGTATCTTTTTCATCTCCAAATCAACAGTGCTCAGTGGATCACTGGTTGTTCTGAACCCTCCAAATTTGTAGCCTGACTGTAATTGCAAGGGTTGGTCAAACAGGCATTGAATGGGGAAAAGATAAGATGATTGTGTAGAAGGTGTTAAAAAATTTTTACTTAACACCAAAGTAGCATACCGGTTTGTTATTAGCTCTAAGCCTGTGCTCACTTCAGTCATGAGGATAGATTGAAGAAGTTGAGACTGTTCTTCTTGGAGAGAAGGCCAAAAGGATAGAGGTTTTCAAAATCAGGAGCGGCTGGATAAAAGAGATAAGGAGAAACTTCCCATTTTGTAAAATGGACAAGAAAGAGGACATAGATTTAAAATGACTTGCAAAGAAAGTTTTACAAAAAAAGCTTTACACAGCATGTACTTGGGGTATGGAATACACTGGGATGGTGGGTAGAGGCAGGTTCAATTGAAGTATTCATTTGGGCAGTGGATGATTATTTGGATCCAAATAACGTACGTGGGTTTGGAGGAAAAGCGGGAGATCGGAACTAGATCATTATTTTCATTTGAAAAGAAGGTGAAGGCACAGTGGGTGGAATGGCTTTCTCCACCTTGTGACTTCTGCGATTCCATGTGAACGACTTTTTTTGCAGGCTGTTTTGGAGAGCCCTTGGCCCAGCAGTAATCGCAGTGGTTGCTTTTTGTGGACAAAAGTGCGGAATGTGGTTCGTGGCGTATCTCAGTTTCGTCAAGTGTTTAAGAAATCAAGCTCTTCAAGCCCTCCAGTGCCACCGTTCTCAGGTATCCCTTTTAAAAGAGCAAAGTTCAATATCACAGATTGGAGAATGTTTGATTGCTTTTATAAAGTGATTGAGTGACTCTTGCAACTTGTGAGGATGTGATTGAAGTAATCAGTTAAGAGGTTTTGTTAGTCCCTCATTATTGCAGCTGTTTGATTTTAAAGATGCATGTTGTTGCAATATTAAATGAAGCATATGCCAGGTGACACAAAACAGTAAAATTTGTCTTGTAATGACTTTACAAATTGTACATTTTTATGCTTTCATGAAATATGGCTGTTGTTGGTAAGGCCAGCCTTTGTTGTCTGTTGCCTAATTTTCCTTGTGTTGAATCGATTGATAGATCATGTCAGAGAGTTAACACCATTATTATCGTCATGAGTCATGTACAAACCAGTTAAGGAAAGCAGACTTCCTTCCCTTTCGTAGAGGATGTTGGGTGAACCAGATGTGTGTTTTTTATGACAATTGATAAAAGTTTCATTTCATAGCACCATATCTGAGACTGGTTTTCAATCCCAGATATTTCTTATTTGAATATTTTAATAAGAGTTGAATTTTGTCAGTTGCCATGTGGGAGTCAGTTGCCATGTGGGATTTGAATCTGTCCCAGAGCATAGGCTGGGCTTCTGGGTTACATGTTTAATGACATTACAACTAGGCCACTGTATGTCCTTCAATTCAGTGACTCGGGTCCAAATCTGCCCATCCCTGGATCGTTGGAAGCAGTCCTGACCCAGTGAAGATCGTGACACACAGATCAATGTGGGAATTCTCCAGGAAGCTTAAACCTTTGGGCAATTCTCATGCTGCCCGGGATCTTGCGTGAAAGTTTTTAACTGAATTAGAGTTACAGAATTCAAGATTTGGGGCAGATCTACAGTATTTAATCTGATTAGTTAGCCCAGGAATTGTTTGCTCTGGAGTTAGATCAATTATAAGGCAGTAGAAGTTACTTAGACAGATATTTCAAAATGGTCAGAGGAGGTATATTCCTACTGTGAAGAAAAAATCTAAAAATCCACCCACGATTAACTGAATTAGTTAGGAAAAGCATCAACCTTGAGGGGACAAAAACACAGTTGTGCAAAGTTGTGTAGCAGATCAGATGAATGGTCAGAATATAAAGAATGGCAGAGGTGACTTGAAGGTTAATTCGGGAAAAGAAATTAAAGTATGGGGACGTCAGCTAGAAATGTAAGAACAAGTGTGAAGAATTTCTACAGGTATATAAAAAGAAAAAAGTACAAACTAATTGCTGGTCCTCATGAGAGTGAGAATGGGGAGTTAATTGTAGATTTTTAAGGAACTGATGGATTAAATTGACAGATATTTTCCATCTGTCCTCGGAGGATACAAAAACTTTCTGGTAATAGTTGTAATTCAGGAGGTGGAATGAGGAAAGGAATTGATGAAAGTACCATCACCAAGGAAGTGGTACTGAGCAAAATGATGAAACTGGGGCTGACAAGTCCTTGGGTTCTGATGGGCTTCATCCTATGATCTTTAAAAGAAGTGGCTTATAAGGCATTGGTGGTAATTTTTCCCAATTTTGCTGGATTCTGTGAAGGTTCCATCAGACTGTCAAGTAGCAAATGTAACCCCTCTGCTCAAGAAGTGAGGAAGACAGGAAATGATCAGCCAGTTAGCTTGATGTCTGTCATGAGGAAGTTGTCGAAATCCATCATTATGGAGGTTGTTGTTATTTGGGCAAGAGGGAAAATTAAGAATATTGAGGAAGAGATGAGATGGTTTTGTGAAAGGGAAATTGCGCTTAACCAATTTCTTAGACTTCTTTGAAAGAATAACCTGCTGTAGATAAAGGCAAGCCTAAAAAGTCATTGTGCTTGGATTTCCAATGGTGTTTGACAAGGTGCCACATCAAAGATTATTGCACAATGTTGAAGCATATAGTGTAGAGGGTAACAAACTGGTATGGGTGGAAGATTGGCTGACTGGCAGAACACCATGTATAAAATCGGTTTTCATCAGATTGGCAAGATATGACAAGTGGGGCCCTAACTTTCCACAGTTTACAACAATGACTTGGGTGAGGGGAATGAATATGTTACCGAGACTGAAGGGTTTGAGTTATAAGGAGAGACTGGATAGGCTGGGGCTTTTTTCCCTGGAGCGTAGGAGGTTGAGTTGTGACATTGTAGAAGTTTATAAAATCATGAGGGGCGTCGATTAGCTGAATAGTTAGGTCTTTTCCCTGGAGTAGGGGAGTCCAAAACTCGAGGGGAAAGATTTATAAAAGACCTGAGGGACAACTTTTACACACAGAGGGTGGTCCATATATGGAATGAGCTCCCCAGAGGAAGTGGTAGAGGCAAGTACAGTACAACATTTAAAAGACATTTGGACAGGTATATGGACAAGTAAATGGATATGGGCCAAATGCAGACAAATGGGACTAGTTCAGTTTAGGAAACCTGGTAGGCATGGATGAGTTGGGTGAAGGGTCTGTTTTCTGTGCAGTATGACTCTATAATTATTAAATTGTAGCTAAATTTGCAGATGATGCAAAGATAGGTAAGAATGTACATTGTGAAGAGAACATGAGGTTTCTGACTGATAGGTTGAGTTGGCAAAAATCTACCAGCTGCAACATTGAGGTAAAATGTCAAGTTGTACACTTTGACAGAAAGAATAGTAATAAAGTAGACTATAACTTAAACAGAAGACTGCAAAGTTCCAAGTGCAAAGAATCAGTGTTTTGTGCATGTGTCACAAAGTTAGTATATAGGTACAAGCAAATAAAGCTAATGGAATGTTATCCTTCGTTGCAAGCAGAATTGACTATCGAACTAAACGTATTTTACATGATCATAGAAATAAGCTCTGATGAAGAGTCATCTAGACTCTAAATGTTAGCTTGCTCTCCCTCTATGGATGCTGCCTGACCTGCTGTGATCTCCAGCCCTTTGTTTTCAGTACAGATTCCAGCATCGGCAGTAATTTGCTCCTAAGCATATTATCCCCCAGTTGGCCATTGAGACCTCATCTCAAACACTATGCAGTTTTGGTCGTGTTATTTAAAGAAGGATATAAATGCATTGGAGGTGCTTCAGAGGTAGTATACTGGATTGGCACCTGGAATTATTTGTTTGCTTTAAGAGGAAAGGTTGGATAGACAGGGTTTGTATCCAGTGGAGCTTAGAAGAGTGAGCTGTGACTTGACTTTGACGTATCCAAGATCCTGAGCAGGCTTGATAATGCAGACATGCAAAGCATGTTTCCTTGAGTGGCTGAGTCCAGAACTAAGGGCCACAGTTTTTAAATTAGAGGCTGCCTTTTTAATACAGACATGACAAGAGGAGAATGTTAGCTCAGTTGGCTGGATGGCTGGTTGGCAACGAAGAGTGATGCTAAAAGTGTGTGTTCAGTTCCCACACTGCTGATGTTGCTGTGAAGGGCACACTTGCTCAAACTCGCCCCTGTCCTGAGGCATGGTGACCCTCGGGCTAATTCACCACTAGTTCTCTCTCTCTAATGAGACAGTAACTTTTACTTAACCAGAACTACTATTTATTTCATAACTATGAACCGTTGACATCATATCTCAGAGTCAAAACACTAGCCCGTTTCTGAAACCTCCTTTTGCATACGCATTCACAAGAGTGTGAGCACCTTTATGGGTGTTATGGGTGGAGGGGAGAAAAACGGGAAGCAGTTCAGGTTGCAAGCGCTCAGGGTTTGATGTAGAAGTTCCTCTTTTGGTTTCCCAAATCCTTCATTTCTTTCACTTCTCTGTTGGAGGCACAAAACGATTGCTTTAATTATGAAGTAAACTATGAAGTCCCTTGCTTATTCATCAATAGCAGCAGCTTGCAACAACTGGTGGCCAAAACTAAACTGACTTTCTTCAGGCTTTAGGTGTTTTACTGGAGTGAGACAGACACAATCTGCCCTTACAGTGCTATTAAGGCTCCTGCCAGTATTATTCATGTCCACCAGCTTTCCAGCTACCCAGGAGCCAATCGGATGATGGCATTTGGCATCCACAACTGAACAACCAATCAGCAACCTGTGGCTGGCTGAATCTCACTTTGTACACCGATCGCTGGAGCCAAACTGTATCATCTGAGACCTTCTCCCACTATTTGCAAAGCAACTATGTAAACACACATTAGAATGAATTTTAATAACTCAGTTTTTAAAAATATAACCATTGTTTACTCAGTCCTTTGTTGTAAAACAATCCTTTTCCCAGTTCAGTTCACAATGAAAATTAATGTAAAGAATAGGAGGACAGGTGGAATTGAGGAGGCGGGGAGGCTGCAGAAGGATTTGGACAGGTTAGGAGAGTAGGCAAACAAGTGGCAGATGGAGTACAACGTAGAAAAGTGTGAGGTCCTGCACTTTGATAAGAAGAACAGAAGCATGGACTATTTTCTAAATGGGGAGAAAATTCAAAAGTCTGAAGTGCAAAGAGACTTGGGAGTTCTAGTCCAGGATTCTGTCATGGTAAACTTGCGGGTTGAGTTAGTAGTTAGGAGGGCAAATGAACTTTGGCATTTATTTAGAGAGGACCTGATTGTAAAAGCGGGGATGAATTGCTGAGGCTGTCTAAGGCTCTGGCCAGGCCACATTTGAGTATTGTGTACAGTTTTGTGCCCCATGTCTCAGGAAGGATACACTGGCCCTGTAGTGGGTTCAGAGAAGGTTCGTGAGAATGGTCTCAGGAATGAAAAGCTTAACATATGAGGAACGTTTAAGACCTCTGGGTCTTTCCTCGATGGAGTTTAGAAGGATGAGGGGGGATCTAATTGAAACTTTCAGAATACTGAATGGCCTGGACAAAGTGCATGTTGGGAAGATGTTACCATTGACAGGAGAGTCTAGCACCTGAGGGCACAGCCTTAGAGTAAAGGGAGGACCTTTTAGATTGGTGATAAAGAGAAACTTCAGCCAGGGACTGGTGAATCTATGGAACTCACTGCCTCAGAAGGCTGTGGAGGCTCAGTCATTGAGTATATTTAAGACGGAGATTGATTGGTTTTTGATTGTCAAGAGGATCAAGGGTTATGGGTAGAAAATGGGAGAATGGGGTTGAGAAACTTATCAGCCATGGTTGAATGGTGGAGCAGACTCGATGGGCTGAATGGCCTAATTTCTGCTTCTATGTCTTATGGTATTATAATATAGTTTTTACACTATGATCTCATTGAATTGTAGAGCACGTTTAAGGTGGGGTTGAATGGCCTATTTCTGTTCTTCATTCATATGTTTGTCTGGGTCCAACATGGAGTGGCATTCTTAAGGCCTTTGCAGTTTTGCTTCTTGGCCACTCAGATGTGAATTTTTCATTGAAAGTGTTTCAAATAATTTGTTAAATGTTAATAACTGAAAACTCTTCATTCAATGAAGCTTTAAATGTAGACTATTATTTATAACCGCTCATTTTTAAAGCCAGATTTCACTCTTAATTAGAAATTTCAATAAGCAGCTATTTAATTTTTAGTTACTGGCGGTCTTAATAAAAATTGTACAATGCAGTATTAGACTTGCCCATTCTGTGTTCTGTCACAGGTAGAGGCTATTTTTTGCCATTTGAAGTCTACCAGCTGGTTAGATGAGGGAATCTGGACTGTGGACTTCACTACTTTCACAACTACTTTTAATACTAGATTCTGCCGCAATGACACATGATTTAGTATGGTGGCACCGTGTTGCATATTTCATGAAACGACCCCGGACGATAAAATCTGTTTGGCTTTTGTCTCCATTTAATTGGGCTGCATTTTATTGTAAAAATAATGGTAAAGTTAACAATGCCTAATGTTGGTTCTGTGCAATTCAGACAGCAAATTCTGGGAAACATCATGTGCAATTAAAACACCAATCTGGGGTTGATTCACAAGATCTGATGTGTCACCTGAAACTTCACAAAATAGCCACTTCAGTGTAATTCACTATTCCAGTATGTTAAGTGGTATGAACTTCATGTTGCCACCTTTGAACATGTATCAATGCACCATAAAATCTTGGTCCTAGTCCACCCCGATCTAAATATCCTTTTGGGGTTTGGATTGTTTGGCTATTATAACCCTTATCTGGCAGTGAAAATTAAAATTTGTAGATAAGAGTTCCATTCCTATAGCTTTCATTCATCTTGGAGATTTTAAAAAGCATTTTCATTGCAGCTTTTCTAAATGTCTGTTTGTTTTGTTACTTCTTTCTCCCTCTTTCTCTTTACTTTCTGTACTTGATTTGACATTGACTTCATTATTTTGGCTTACACTTCCTGGTTCATAGTTTCAAACTGATTATTGTTCTTCAGTCTGATTTGAACAAAAGATATGTAGTTTCTTATCCTGTTAACCTGTGTCCTGAAAGCCCCACAGGGTGTGTTGCACTTGTTAGGTATTTGTGTGATCGTAAGTTGCAGTACAAAATGCTGTAAAAAGACAGTTTAAAAGAAATTTAAAATACTAGAAATGCTCAGCTCAGGCAGCATCTGTGTGGAGAGCTTAAGTGTTAAATAGGGCACAGCACCTGAAACATTGGCTGTGTTTCTTTCCGTTGATGCTATCTAGCGGGTGCTGAGTCATTCCAGGATTTTCTGTTTTCATTTGATGTTCCCCACATTTGCAGCATTTTGCCTTTGCTTGAAATACATAGGTTTTGGTTGGAAGGACAGTTCATGAAATCGGTCTTTTTTGGATAAGTTTATGAACAAAATGAAAAATGCTGACTTTGCGTAACCAGAGAGAGCCGGAAGTTCTGTTGGACATTTTGTATGGATATATTAACTAAACAGTCAAAGGGAAAGAGATGCAGCAAAAATGTTTCCCCTGGCAGTGGGGCCTAAAATAAAAGGCAAGCAATTTAGCAGTGAGATGAGCAGGAACTTCTTCACTCAGATGATTAATCTTTGTAATTTTCTACCCTAGAGGGCTATGGACATTGCATTCAAGACAGATACTGATAGATTTCTAATTATTAATAACATCACTGGGTACAGGGATAGTATGAGAATATGGCTTTGAGGTAGATGATCAGGTGGAAAAGTAAGCTGCAGTGAAGAAATAATTTTTCAAATGGAGATGGATAGGTTGGGTGAATGAGTCAAAATTTGACAGGTGTATAATACTGTTAAGTGTGAGGTTATTCATTTTGGCTGGAAGAATAGAAAGGCAACTTATCTAAATGGAGAGAAACTTCAGAGTTCTTCCATGCAGAGGGATCGCGATGTCCTTGTGCATGAATTGCAGAATGCCAGTATACAGGTAATTAGGGAGGCAAATGGAATTTTGGCATTTAATTCTAAAGGAATAGAGTGTAGAAGTGGGGAAGTGTAGCTAGAACTGCACAAAACATTAGTGAGACCAACCTGGAGTATTGCATGCAATTTTGGCCCTGTTAATTGAGGGATATAGTTACATTGGAGGCAGTTCAGAGGTGGTTCACTGGATTGATTCTGGAGATGAGGGGTTTTTCTTTTGGAGAGATTGAGTAGTTTGGGACTGTACTCCCTATGTGTTTAGAAGAATGAAAGGAAATCTAATTGAGGCATACAAGATGCTAAAGGTGATTGACATACAAAGGATGTCTCATGTGGGACAGTCTAGAATACGAGGTTTTGAGGGGTAGCGGAATTAGACATGAGAAATTGTTTCTATCAAAGGGTTGTGAATCTGTGGAATTCACGATCCTAGAGTGTGGTGGATCTGGGGCATTGAGTAAATTTGAGGGGGAGATAGATGGATTTTTAATTAGTAATGGATTGAAGGGTTACGGAGAGCAGGCAGGAATGTGGAGTTGGGGCAGAGGTGAGAACAGCCATGATCGTATCAAATTGTGCAGCAGGTTCGAGGGCCGCCTCCTGCTCCTGGTTATTATCTGTCAGCTATAATCTAGAATAGTGGAGCAGCCTTGGGCTCCCATGTTCTTCTAGTTTATATTAAGTTTTCAACTAAAATGGAATAGATTTGGTGGATTGTCCCCTTTTGAAGGTTTCTTACATAATATTTTACATTTGTTTTTATTTTCTGTACTGTACTATCAACTGACTGTGAACAGGTGGAAGTGATACAGATGCTGTGAGCCATGGCAGTGTGGATAGTTCTAACGATGCTAACAACGGAGAGCATGTGCTATTCGTCAGAGATCTAATCAGACTAGATTCTACCGAAAATCATGGTAGCACAGGTATTGGCTTTTGAATTATGCTAGACCCATTGGTGATCTTTGTAGAGTTTGCGAATGACTTGTGTTTACTTTAACCCCATTTTCATCTGGCACTCGCTGTCCTAAAGCTCCCTTATGCTTTCTTCTGATGAGCGTTATTTAATTGTTTCAAACGTGGAAAGTCGTTGCATTTAACTTCACATTCTTCGTGTTTTTGCTACTTTGACTGAATGTTGTTGCATTTTATGTAAAACATCCTGTGATTTCAAGTTTACGGTATTGACAGAGGGATTTCCTAGTTAATTCCTCCTGATTTGAATGAATACGTAGAAGTAGCATTGCGGTATATGTAGCTGGAATGTTCTGTATCACCTGTCTTTTGTGGAGAAATTTGCAAAGAGAAACACCTTTGACCACAAGTCTATCAGGAAGTGGTCAGTACGTAGTGTCCTCACGATCCTGTGGGAACAGGAGAAGGTGGATCCTGTCGGGTTGTTCCCTGAGCAGACTGTCAAAGTCAGTTGGCAGCATGCCTGATCACCAGAACTTTCTAACAAGCACCAAGATGTCGCTTGGCTGGTGGAGAGAAGGGCACTACTTGTGAGATCTTTCATGTACACCCAGACTCTCTGCACAACCACACACTGCCCACATCTCCTTCTGGAATGTGCCTTTGCAAAGGAAGTATGGAGAAAGATGCAGTGGTTCTTGTTGAGCTTCATCCGGAACAGCTCTGTGACACAGGACTCTGTGCTCTATGGTTTGTCCCCAGGGACGCACGACCAGGCAAGTATCCCCTGCACTTGGAGGACCATCAATTCAGTGAAAGACCCTCTTTGGTCTGCCGGAAACTTATTGGTCTTTCAGAGCAAGGAGTTGATTTTGACAGTGTTGCAGACTGGCACATCCCAAGGTCCAGAACTATGTGCCGAGAGACAAACTAAAGCTTGGGGAAGCTGCCGCCAAGGCATCGTGGGGCAAGACCACCATCTCGGGTCTTTCTGCTGAAGTATAATGTGGTCCGTTCAGTTATCAGTTACGTGAGGAAAGGGCTGCGCTCCAAAAGTTTGTGAGACTCTGGATAAACCTGTTAGACTATAACCTGGTGTTGTGTGACTTCTGACTCTGTGGCTGTAGCTGGTCAGTGCATGCAAAACTACCTGCTATTAGATGGAGTTCAGAACAGCAGCCAAGACATCATTGACTTCAAGGGTGAGAGGGACTGAGGGCAGGGGCAAAAACAGAAGAAATTTTCAGAGGACAGAGCGCAGGAGCAGAAACCTGGAGTCTTGAAAGCAGGTGGGCCCAGAGCATGAATTCTGGCAAATGACATTAAATTGAAACACTCAACTTTTCACAAGTATGTTGTGTTTATTTTGTTAATAGTATTAAAGCGAGACAATATTAAATAAGTTGACTTTGAATGGGTACTTGGGCGAAAAAACTGCATAAATAACTTTTAATTTCTTGTGAAATACCTCTTGAAATAGCTCATAGTTAACATGGCTTTCTTACAGGTGCCCAGTCAGACCAGGGGTATGGATCTAAAGATGAACTTCGACGTGATGACACTGAAGAAACACTGATAGAAATTGACTCATCCAGTACAATTAAAGAGCGCAAAGGTGAAGATTGAGGATCAATGTAACTGCAGATAGACTTAACTCGGGCATTTTCATTCATTTTGTAAAGATTCCTGGGTGGTAGCACATCAGAGTTGGTCAAGCGATTCTTTTGTGCATCATTTACTGCTACTAGATGCACTACTGTGAACAAGTGTCTAAGAAATAAGTGCTTCCTCATTCTGAGGTGACATATTAGGGAAGCCAAGTTTTTGCAGAATGGTTTTCTGTTGCAACTTATGATCAATTTGAGCAAAGTTAAAGAGCGGTACCTGGCAGAGGGAGATCCAGGCTTGGAAATGCTTCTTATTAATGGAATGTAACTTTGTGAAATTATGTACTGCAAATGCATATTTACGACATAACGACGTGAAGTGACTGTTTCAGGATAAATTTCCAGTGAGTTCTTCTATACAAGAAATGTTCTAAGATCACTATTTAAAAGGCATCATATGTGAATACTGTTGGTCAGTGTCACTGCGTTTTCCACTGTTTCTTGTCTAAGCTCAAACATTATGAGTAACCTCCTGGGTGAGTTACTGTGTGGTTCTAGTACTGCCAAATCTCCAACCTATCAAGTTTTCTCATTCCATGAGCCTTGATGGTTAACTCAGTTGTGGGTGCTGTTTCTTCCCCTCTTCCAAGAAACCACCACCAACATCCTCCAAGATTGCTTCATGCTATTTAATCCATGTATGCTTACAAACTTCATATCAGTCTTGATCCAGTCCTTTTTTCAGGTATCAGGTGGCCAAATTAGCTATTTTTAGAATTTTAATCCTCATTTTAAAATGTCTCCTTGGCTTATGTCCCCTATCTCTGTCACCTGCTGCAGCCACACAGCCCTCTGAGAAATCTGCATGACTCCACCTCTAGCTTGAGTAGTTTTTATTACTCTTTTGGTGGTTGTGCTACAGTTGCCTCAGCTCCAAGCTCGGCACCTCCTTTTATTGCACTTTCATCCTTTAAGGCTCCCTTTAAAACCTACCTCGAATAGAACACAGGGTTGGATTAAAGGGGAAATTTTCAGAATGGCAACCGTAACTAGTGGATTGCCAGGGGTTCAGTGCTTGGGACCACATATTTACTAAATATTAATGACTTGAGAGACAGAAGTGAAGTTAATGTAACCAAGTTTGCAGATGGCGCAAAAATAAATGGGAGGGCAAGTTGTGAAGATAGAGATGGGGAGTGGGCAAAAACTTGGCAAATGGAATAAAATGGGAAAGTGAGGTTATGCACTTGGGCAGGAAGTCGGAAGAGCTGCATATTATTTAAATGGGTAAAAGACTGCAGAAATCTGCAGCAGAGGGATTTGGTAGTCATAGTGTTTGAGTCACAAAAGAACTAGGACTTTTACAATTAATGGTAGGGTCCTGGGGAGTGTTGCCGAACTGACCAAGGAGTGCAGGTGCACAGTTCCTTGAAAGTGAAGTTGCTGTTAGGGTGGTGAAGAAGGCTTTGGTACGTGTGCCTTCATTGGTCAGAACATTGAGTACAGGAGTTGGGACATCCTGTTACTGCTGTACAGGACATTGGCGAACTATTTTTTGAATACTGCTTACAATTCTGGTTGCCCTTTTATAGGAAGGATATTATTAAATGGGAGAGGGTGCAGAAAAGATTTACATGGATGTTACCGGGGACTGGTGAGTTTGAGCTATAGGGATGGTCTGAATAGGCTGGGGCTTTTTTCCCAGAGCATCAGAAGCAAATGGGTGACCCAAAGAGGTTTATAAAATCATGAGAGGCATGGAGAGGGTCAATGGACACCAATCTTTTTCCTAGGATATGGGAATCCAAAATTAGAGGGCATAGGAGAAAGGTATAAAAAGGACCCGAGGGGAAACTTTTTCATGCAGTGGGTGGAGCTTAAATGCAACAAGCTGCCAGATGAAGTGGTGGAGGCTGGTACAATTACAACGTTTAAAATGCACCTGGATGGGTATATGAATAGGAAGGTTTTAAAGGAATATGGGCCAAATACGTGGAAATGGGACTAGGTCAGATTGGGATGTTTGGTCGGCGTGCACAAGTTCGACTGAAGAGTCTTTTTCTATGCTGTATGACTCTATAACTAGCATCCACGTTCAGCAGGTAATAGGGAAGGTAAATGGAATTTTGGCCTTTGTTCCAAAGGGAATGGAGTCTGAAAATGGGCAAGTCATAATAAAACTATACAAGAAATTAGTCGGACCACAACTGGAAGACTGTGAACAGCTTTGGGCCCCTTATCTAAGAAAGGATTTATTGGCATTGGTGGCAGCCCAGAGAAGGTTCACTATGTTTATCTAGATATGAAAGGATTTTCTTATGGGGACAAACTGAGTGGGTTGTGCGTATACTCATTGAAGTTTGGAAAAATGAGAGATGAACTTTGAAACATGAAAGATAGGGTGGATATGGAGAGGTAGTTTCCTTTTTGGGAGAGTCTAGGACCGGGGGCACGATCTCAGAGTAAGGGGCTGCCCATTTAAGATAGATGAGAACTTTGTTTTTCTCTAAGGTTGGTGAATCTGTGGAATTCTTTTACTGTAAATGTATATTCAAGGCTGCGATGGACAGAATTTTAATCAGTGAGGAAATCGGGGGTTATTGGGGGGAAATGCAGGAAAGTAGAATTGAGGATTATCAAATCAGACGTGGTCGCATTGAATGGCAGAATCTGACTCGATGGGGGGGATGGCCTAATTCTGCTCATATGGCTGTTTGGTCAAGTTTTGGTTATCTGGCCTTTACATGGTTCAATGTCATATTTTGTTTTATAATGTGCAAGTGAACTATCCTGGGACTTCCCATTATTTTAGTGATGTGAATGTGAATTGTTTTTCTACAGTTTATTCTTGTTTTAAATATCTGTTGAAAGAGTTATGAACTCTAATAAGAATGGAGACCATATTCTCCTCAAGTCTGCCCTGCTATTTAATGCAATCATGACTAAATTTCCTCAACTCCACTTCCCTGCTGAGGCCTAATCTGCTTTTTATGCATATGTATGTTCTTCACTTGTAATCTAATCTTATTTATTTCTTATGTAAATTTGATTTTGAAGTAGGAGCCATTTTTGACCAAATTTATATTGGCATTTTATCATCAGGAAAAGAGTCAGACAGCTCTGATGTGGATCAATCAGTGAGTAAAAACAGTACGAATTCTAGTTTACCAGAAAAACTTCATTCCTGTAGCAGCATTGTAAAGCTACAATGTGCTACTGTTGGCAACCAAGGAAACAATGGTAAGCGATTGTTTTGTTCTCACTCATTAACAGTATCGTATTGGATTACACTGCTATTCATTACCATTTTAGCAATTTTTTTGGAGTTCTTTGTGCCACTGGAAACCTCCTCAGTGAGACACGTTCCACGTATTAAAGACACTTTTTAAAAAAAAACTGGCACATTTAACTGCTCAGTGGGAATGATATTAACTTCTTTTCTCACTGAAATCCAATGTAAAAAAGATCCTGACGTTTCGGGCCTAGACCCTTCATCAGAAAAGGGGGAGGGGAAGGGGGTTCTGAAATAAATAGGGAGAGAGTGGGAGGCGGATAGAAGATGGATAGAGGAGAGGATAGGTGGAGAGGAAACAAACAGGTCGAAGAGGCGGGGATGGGGCCAGTAAAGGTGAGTGTAGGTGGGGAGTTAGGCAGGGGATAGGTCAGTCCAGGGAGGACGGACAGGTCAAGGGGGCAGGATGAGGTTGGTCGGTAGGAGATGGAGGTGCGGCTTGAGGTGGGAGGAGGGGATAGGTGGGAGGAAGAACAGGTTAGGGAGGCAGGGACGAGCTGGACTGGTTTTGGGATGCGGTAGGGGGAGGGGAGATTTTGAAACTTGTGAAATCCACATTGATACCATTGGGCTGCAGGGTTCCCAAGCGGAATATGAGTTGCTGTTCCTGCAACCTTCGGGTGGCATCGTTGTGGCACTGCAGGAGGCCCAGGATGGACATGTCGTCTGAGGAATGGGAGGGGGAGTTGAAATGGTTCGCGACTGGGAGGTGCAGTTGTTT